AACTTTAGGTAACGCACTCCAAGAAGAAACGCGGGAATCGATTGATGGATGTGCTGAAGCCGGCAATCCTAGGACCACCACGGGGCCTCTCTATCGCAGCTGGCTAGAGTGGGCAAACACGCTCAAAAAATGCTGTGATCCCGCGCCAATTTCTTGGGATCGTGGCGCGTCTCCGAACGGCGTGTTCCGGGCAAGCGACACGTTTCAAAACTTGAATCGAGCGGATTAAAGGGATCAGGAATGTCCAGTAGATCAGTGGTCATCTGTAATTGGCAACGAGCAAACCGGAACTGTTAATACAAAAAACGTGCAGAGAGTGGGGCTAGGCAGAAGGGAGAAGGGAAGGTGCTAATTTTAGATCCAAAACCCGTCTTTTTCTAATTTTTCCTGGGCCTTCCTGATTGATCCCTTTAAGACCCAAGGAAGTGCCAGAACTATCGACGTTGGGAAATCCCTAGGCTCTGGTCGGCTAGCTAAGCGCCGCGTCTATGCACTGCCGCAAATGGAACGTCGGCAACTGTCAGAATTTTCCTGAAAACACGAACAGTGACCGACGATCAGCAACCTAAAATAAAAAGCGGAACGCAGCACAGACAGACAGACAGATCTAATCCGAAGCTTCTACTAGTTGTGGGTTGCGTTAAGAGTTTACTTTACCCCCACCCCCACATCCGAAGGGTCTCATAGTTTTCGATATTTTCGCCATTTTTGTCGGTTTTTTGCAACGCCATTCGATAGAGCGTCAAAAAATATACCCTGAATTTGGATCCGAGCTTAAAATATGGTTATAGCCCGAACCATCTTGTTGGGGGTAAAGAAAACCGTAGCCTGGATCGCCGCGATCGGTACAAAATCTAAATTGGCTAAAACAAGCCCAAAAAGCGGGATCTGGTTAGTTGTCTATTGTCCAGTAGGAGTGCCTTAAAATTAAGGGAGCCCGATTACACCACGCTCAAATCCTAAATGCCTGCGGCGAAGGCGCGACAAAACGTTGCTGACCCCGAAACAACCTCGCATGCACATGCTAAGCAAACAATCTCTCGCCGGCGGTACGTCGATTGCGCGAAAATTAAGGCCCCGGGATGTTGGGGAGGGGGGAGGGAAGGGATGAGACCAAACAGATATACGGTAGGGAGAGGAAAGGGATGGCATGAGGTGGACGGACGGACAAAGCCCCCCCCCTATCCACCCAAGAACAGCAGCAGCCCCCGGCTTGCCCCCCTCCATCCGCTGTAACAGCAACCCCCGCGTCGAGGACCAGGGGCAGGGCGGCGCCTCGGCTGCTCTATCTCTAGCCTTTTCTATCTCTCTCTCTCTCTCTCTCTCTCTCGATCTCTCTCTCATCCATTTAATCTTTCTCCTACCCACAACGCTTGGGCTGGCCTCGAAAAAGCGTCTCGCCACGTTCAGGTGCCCACACCGGGCCAACCCGGGGCGTTTGATCCGAGCTCTGGAGGTGAGGAGGCGATACGAGGGGATATCGAAATAGCGCTATGAATTCCAGCAAAAATGCCGATATTCATAATCGCGACAGCCAAGATGTGATATTTCCGGTCTTTTTACCGATAAATGGCTTTAAAATATGGGTTTTTTGGCTGTCGGGATCATGGGTGTCGGTATTTTAGCTGTCAGCATTTTGGCGGTTGGGAGTATGGGTGTCGGTATTTTGACTCTCGGGTTGGCTGTCGGGATTTTGGCTGTCTGGATTTGGTTGTCGGCATTTTTAATGTCGGGGTTGGAGTGTCGCTATTTTTGCTGTCGGGATTTTTCGCTCCGAAAACAAACGAATCGCTAAAAATCAGGGTTCTAGTTCGTTAGTGGGGGGATTTACCAAATTTCCTCATAATTTTTCAATATCTCACTTTCTAAAAATATTGAGCATCAAAAAATGAACTAAAAATCATAAATCTAGGCCAGAAAACAATAATTTAAGAGTGTTATAACAAAAGCAAAAACAGCCCTGAAAATCGGTTTGTTCAGCTATTTTTTGGGATTTTAGATATTTTTCGATCTATCGTTTCCCCCTTTTTTGGAGAGCCCTATCCCGACGTAATCGTAAAGCACCGAGGGCCCAGGGCGAAGAAGCCACGGAAAGCCAACTGTTGCTCGCCCAGCCACCCCACTTTCATGAAACGACAAGCCCGGTGGAGGATTGCAAAACCCGGGGGTTCTTTCGCATTATCGGGGGACCGAAATTTTTTGTATAAGCCTAGAAATGTCTATTATTAATAGAAAGTGTTTTTATATCGTATTTAGTAATCGATAACTATACTCCAACTGGAAAAACTATCTAAAAGTTTTTTAAATGCGGAAAAAGCCGCAATTTCGTAAAAATCGGCCATTTTGGTCGAAAATGATATATTTTTGATGTTTTTTTAATACATTTGGTAGAGTTTGGACGTTTAAAAATGGCGAAATCAACTTAGAAACACCTCCACATTTTTTTTGCGCAAAAGTTACCCTGTGTTTTTTCACTGGGACGCTACGGTCTCCGCGTTGATCGTATTGTAAAAGGTGGGTGATTTATACCGCTGTTTTGCATCAATTTTTGTATTCTAAATATGCATTAACAAGAAGTGTGTTTTGCCAAGGATTCAGGAAATGGAGCCGGACCCGTAGAATAATAGATAAATGATAGGATAGTAGTAACTGGGCATATAACAAGGGAGCGATGACATGAAATGTCTGTGATGGGATTGCAAGAGCATGAAATTATGGACGAAGAAAAAACGGTTCTGGTTTGTTAGCGGGGGGGGGGGTTTAGAAGTCGTGAAGTCTTTTTTGTCAATATCTTCTCTTATCTTAAATTAAATAATTTTGGACTTAAGTGCAGTTTACCCCCCCGCAGTCGACCTCCACCTACCGTATCTCGGCTCCCTGTTCATCTACAGGTGTGTAAAACATAGTATAGTATACTCGCCAGAGCAAGACAAACATTGACCCCCCCCCGCTAAGGAACCAGAATCGAAAAACAACAAAAACGAGGCAATACTGACTTTAATGCCTAAAAAATGGGCGGATGAGAGCAAGATCAGCCAGCTCACAGCGGCTAGTTGATAAAATAAGGATGAGTTAGCTTGTCGAGTGGCACTCCCCGCAGATATTCGACCTGAAATTGTGAAAGATTAAAGGAATGGGCTCTTTTGCATTATCGGGGGGCACACTTATTTCTTAGGATCCAATTTTTGAAATATAAATAGTGGTAGTGTTTCTAGATGGTTATTTACTATTCTTAAACGTCAAAACTTTACAAATGTGTATTAAAAATGATAAAAAATATCGACTTTTCCATCGAAAATGGCCGATTTTTTACAAAATTTCGACTTTTTAAAAGTTTTTAGATAGTTTTTCTGGTTGAAATATAGTTAAACATTTCTAAAAATACTTTTAAAACACTTTCCATTACGTTACTAGGCATTTCTAGACTTATACAAAATAGTTCGCCCCCCCCCCGATAATGTGAAAGAACCGACAACGGGCATGGGTCCAGCGGAGAAAATCTTGAACTAACCTGGGGAAGCTCCGAGTATCTGGACGCATTAAACGGCCGCGGCAAATACGTCCTCTTTTGGTGTTCCTAAAGCTATACTCCACGACGGCACGACGCCCTTTTTCACCTTTAACAAACAAAAGAAGGTGGCCGGCTCATAGTCGATGTACAGCTTGTGTGCCACCAATTCCGGGCTGAAATTGTCGTTGAGCATCCCAATGAACGCTACCGGTTTATCAAATTCTGCAAATCCCGAACGCTGAAGATGCACGATGAGGCGGAAAGTCGCCCTGAATTTTCAGAATTTCTGTTAAAAATTAAGAGCTCGAAAATCGTAATTTCGAAGATCAGTTAATCCCCCTCGCGCACCGTGGCATCCAGCATGGCCCCAGATTTGGTACCGCGAGACGTAGTAGCGATTCGGGGTGTCAAAACTGGCCGTCGGGTAGAATTCGCCGCGGATGTGTGCCTCTAAAACACCATGTCGCCATTTCATAATGCCGAATTTTCATAATGCCGAAATTAAACGTCGAAATTTCAAAGTGTCGAAAGTCATAATGCCGAAATTCACAATGTAGAAATTCACAATGTCGAAATTTAAAAGTCTACATTATGAAATTGCGTCATTCTGAAATTTCGACAATATGAAATTCGAAATTACGAACTTTAACATTGTGATTTTCGGCGTTATAAAAGCTAATCCATATTCGCTTACTTTCCGAGCTGTTTTCGGCATCCCGGAGTAGGCGTTGGTGAGCCTCGGCGGCGGCGCGCTTCAGCCCCAAGAAGTCGGAGGATGGGATGCTGCCGCGATACGGTAGGACTAATCGTAAGCCATGCATTACATTGTGTTCCCGATGTACCTTTTGGGTTTCCACCAAGCGTCGCCCACAACGCTTCATCGGGAATGGAAGTTCCGTTCAGAAAGCGCAGGTATTTGGTGACCTGAAACCTTATATTAGGGGTCAGGCTTGGCTTAGACGACATTTAGACTTTGATTTAGGCTTAGCTTAGGCTTAGGCTTGGTTTTGGCTTAGCTTATGCTTTAACTGCAGCCAACCCGAAAATGTGATATTTCCGCTCATTGTACACGAAAATGGTTTTAAAACTTGGGGTTTCTGGCTGTCGGGATTTTTGCTGTCGGGATTTTGAATGCCAGGATTTCGGCGTTTTCACAATGAGAATCACCAACCTTGCGGTTCGCCATAAATGCGTCGGCGGCGGCCCTCGGAATCAGCGCTGACAATGACGACTTGTACATAGGAAACGGAGATGAAGTGTTCCGAAATGAAGCTCTTTGTTTAAGAAGAGGAAGCATGTTTCTGGGTCTGTCGATTTGCTATCATAATGTCGAAATTCCTAATTTCGAAATTTCAGAATGTCGAAATTTCAGAATGTCGAAATTTCAGAATGTCGGCATTTTTGCATAGGATTCGGGGTTTTTCGGGGAAATTAGCTAATGTAAATTTCGACATTATGAATTTCGAAATTTTTAAGGAGACCCGGGCTAGAAAAAGGTGTGTCCGCCACGCACCTTTCTGCCATTCAGCCTGCCAGGTTGGAACTCGATAAATTCCATGTTCATTGAACCGTTGAGGGCCTTGAATATGCGTACCATCTCGAGGTTCGTCTTCAAAGGCACGTCGACGCCGGATAGATACTGAAAAAACGCTGGGTTTTGAGAGTTTTTCAAATTTTTTTTTCTCAAGATCTAATTTCGAAAGATGAATAGCGGCATTGTTCCTGAATTGTTGTCTACTTTTCCTAAATATGAAAATGTTACAAATTTTTATTTAAAAAATATCAAAAAAAACGATTTTTTTACCGAAAAGGGCCGGTTTTTGATGAAATGGTCGATTTTTTTTATATCTTTAGATGCTAGTTGAAATAAAGTTGTATATTAAACACTAAAGTTATACTAAAACTTTACTTTATACTAGTTATATACTAAAAACACTATAAAACACTTTGTATTAAGTTACATGGCATTTCTAGACTTGTACAAAAAAAATCGGCGCCCCTCCCCGAAAAAAATGTCCCCCCCCCGATAATGCGAAAGAACCAATTTTTTTTAATCGATTAAGTAGGATATATAGTAGGATACCTGATAATATTTCCATTGATTTTGCGAAGCGGCAGCATATTTGAGGCAGGACCAGACGGCCGTCACGATGCCATATTCGCCCCAACCGATCCTCGGGATTTCCTGACGCCAAAAGCCTCAACCATCATTAGGGTCCGACATACGATGATGTGAATATTCGAAAAACAGCCCCCCACATTCCGCATCAACGCTTTAAACGTTTCGTTAGAATGGCCGTCCATCGCGATGCAATACAGATTTTGGGGCTGGTAGAAGGCTGAGAGCATGTGGAGAACCTGAATACTCCATTTTTGGTTTTACCATCCTAAGCCTAAGCCTAAGCCTAAGCATGCAAAAGATCCAAAAAAAATACCTGCATAATGTTCTTGTATACCACCAGACCATACGCGAGCGGGAAATCGGCTTCTTCGCGGCTCAGCGGCCGCTCTTGGAAATGGAATTGGGTTTTGAAGGCGGCACATCTTAACCATTAGAGTAAGCAGCATTCCGGCCATAATCCCGACAGCCAAAATGCCGACAGGTCAAAATCACAACATATGCTTGAAGGGATTTGCCATCATAATGTCGAAACTTCATAATCTTGACAATTCATCACGTCGAAATTTCGTAATGTCGAAATGTCATAATGTTTCAATTTCATAAACTCGAAATTCAGAATGCCAATTTTTTTGCACATGTCAGAACATTTTTGCAAATGTCGACATTCTGAATTTCGACAATCTGAAATTTCGGCATTATGATTTTTGACAATTTGATAGAAACCCGTTTAGGCTAATACCACTGCCTCTTAAAGGGCTATTCTGGTTTGTCAAGCCATCGACATGCTGGCGGTCGGGATTATTGTTGTCGGGATTTTGTTTTGTCGGGAATTTGGCTGTCGGGGTTTTGGCGTCTTCTCGAAACTAAGCAAAATCGCAAACCTGTCATCAGCATCCAATAAAATACCCGTGTGATAATGATGATCATATGCCTAAATAAGCGCAGTATTAGCTCGAAATTTCATATGGTCGAAATTCAGGATGACAAAACTGACATAAGTTCATTTTCCTAAAGACCCCCGGATCCTATGCAAAAAATGTCGACATTCTGAATTTCGACATTCTACATTTTCGACATTACGAAATTTCGACAAATTTCGACTGGCTAATAGAAAATCCTTTTACCCAATCCTTGTAGAAGGCGAGCGCATGCTGATCTCCCTCGAAGAGGCCATCGCAGTCCAGATCGATACGGTCGAGCAGGGTGAAGCGCATTGGTTCGTCCCTCTCACATCTCTTGCCGAAATGAGTCCTAAAACTATCGTTTTTTCCGTGTTTTTGACGATCACAGGGCGAGGGTGTAGCTTACTGCATGCTTATCAGATTTTTAAGAAAATACTCTAAGCCTAAGCCTAAGCCTAAGCCTAAGCATACCCTAAGCCTAAGCCTAAGCCTAAGCCTAAGCCTAAGCCTAAGCCTAAGCCTAAGCCTAAGCCTAAGCCTAAGCCTAAGCCTAAGCCTAAGCCTAAGCCCGCCTAAGCCTAAGCTTCCAAGCCTAAGCCTAAGCCTAAGCCTAAGCCTAAGCCTAAGCCTAAGCCTAAGCCTAAGCCTAAGCCTAAGCCTAAGCCTAAGCATACCCTAAGCCTAAGCCTAAGCCTAAGCCTAAGCATACCCTAAGCCTAAGCCTAAGCCTAAGCCTACAATAAGTGACACGTACATCATTTCATTGTAGTAGGCGCGGAACGAAAGCCACAATAGAATCAACCCAAGCACGACCAGTAACCGCTTCTGCCATCGGTATGCCGTCGACCACATATGCTAAAATGTTTGTAATCAGGCACATTACACACATGCCTTTCTTCTACGGGCTGTCCCAAAAAGGATCATGATTTTAGTTACAAGGAGGCGTCTTTAGTGACAATCCGTTTTCCGCACGAGACTAAGCTTATCTTGTGCAGAATTTTGCGCTGATTCCGTGCCTGTTATCAAAATCTGCAAAGCACTCAGATTCAAAAAATTAAGAAGCTTTTCAGGGCGATAGGGGTGAAAAGAGCATCCAAAGAGCAGCTTTTTCTGCACAAGATTTGCTAATTACTTTCGACAAAATATTTTCTCTCGAATTTTTCCAGGGTCATAAACGTTGCGAGTTAGAAAATTTTCGTCCTGAAATGCGCTGTAACTTTTTGAAAATGCCGAAAAATGAAAAACAGAAACTCAAAACTTTGAACTTTTTGAAACTCAAAAACGTCTCCTAGTTGGTCCCGTGCAGAAGCTCTATTGCCACCAAAAAACGTCTCCATGTAAGCACCAAGCTTTCCGGTTTTCCAACTTACAAAATGACATTGAAAACCCATGCGCGGCGCTATTGTCCCATTAGAAATTCTTGTTAAAGTCGAATCGATCTGGCACAGAAGCGCCAAATAATTTTCCCGGAGTGCACAATGGTGTCTGCCGTCCGGAAATCATGCCCGACACGCCTCCAAAAAGCGACCGAACAATTCCCAAAACTTTTATTGCCCCGGTGCATGAGTGTCCGTATTTGTTGATGTGTGGCAAATATCCGGCATCATGCCCGTCAATCGACAATCGAAACGGGTTGTTTCATTTTGCCGAAATACACTTTGTCGAAAATCATAATGTCGAAGTTCAGAATGTCGAAATTCAGAATGTCGCAATTTCAGAGTCGAAATTCACATAAACTAATTCTCCCGGAAAACCCCCATGCAAAAAATGTCGACGTTCTGAATTTTGGCATTATGAAAGGGGGATTTTAAAGGGATCAGGAAGCCTTCCTGAGGAAGGGGCAGGAAAAATTAGCATAAAATTGGTCCTGGTCCTCAAATATTGATAACCTTAGCCTCATCGATTAGACAATAGAATAATATCTTGTAGCTCTTGTACTCAAAATTGTGACGTTTTTGAGGGTCAAAATATGGTTCCGTTTATTGGGTATACGAAAGTAAAATTGGGTTAGCGCATTTTCCATCGTACATCTGATTTAATTTTCTGCGGTTTGGAATTAATGTCCATGCTGCCACGAGGCATCGACAGATTGTAAGGATTTTGGGTACTTTCCTTTTAACGGGGGGGGTGGTAAAGGGATCACGAAGGTACAGGCGCAGGCAAACGGTTGCCAATTCTGAACTAGCCCTGATCTAATCTTCCTGATCCCTTTAAAGTAGCCGAGTTTGGGGGAAACTCGTAAAAAATCAATTGCCTTGATCTCGAATCCTCGAATTCCTAATACAATAAAGAACGAGAAAGCTGTGAAACGTCTAAAAATGACTGAAAAATGTCGTGATCCGCCACCAACTTTCTCCCTATGCTAATTTATCCCCCCGATTCGGCAGTCAGGCAAAGCCAGCGTGTGCGATGATTGAACCAGTTAGTCTTCGCACAACCAGGAATGTATCAAAAATATCGATTTTTCGACCAAAATGGCCGATTCTTGACCAAAATTTTGATTTTTGATAGTTTTTAGATAGTTTTTCTTTTAAGTATAGTTATCGATTACTAAAAACCTTATAAAAAGGCTTACTATTAAGTTGCTAGGCATTTTAAGAATATAAAAAAACCCCGAAATACGATGCAAAAATGTCGACAGATTAAAATTTCGACATTACGATCGAATGTAACGCACGTCATCGTTGTCCGATCGCTTTTTTCGGCAATTTTCCGACTGATACTTGCCCAATCGCTAGGGCCTCAATGCTGACCTTCCATTGCGACACCGAACATCGAATTGTAGCCGAAATCACGAACAGTTCCTCCACAACTGCCGGTGGTTTTGCGAAATTCTCCTTTTGCATCGTTGGTTCACAGTAGCCGCTGAGTTTTCGCGTTTTTTTCAAGCAGATGGGGCGTTCGCTCAATTCAGATTGCTTTTGCAAAGTAAAAGCAAAGCACGGAATTTCGGCTGTAGAGAAAATATGTTTGTGTCAATTCAATGGCCAAAGCCTAAGCCTAAGCCTAAGCCTAAGCCTAAGCCTAAGCCTAAGCCTAAGCCTAAGCCTAAGCCTAAGCCTAAGCCTAAGCCTAAGCCTAAGCCTAAGCCTAAGCCTAAGCCTAAGCCTAAGCCTAAGCCTAAGCCTAAGCCTAACCTAAGCCTAAGCTTAAGCCTAAGCTTAAGCCTAAGCCTAAGCTTCTTGCGCTTTAGAAAATATCGACTTCCAAGAGTCGATTTCTTCCGGTAGAGCGCTCAAAAATCATGCCACGGGGGCGGGGGGCAAAAGTAGGGCCCCCGCCCGTTGTTCGCCAAGGCCTTGGCAATGGAGCAGGAGTTGGAATTGGTGAGCACGTTGTCGTCCTCTTCTCGTGCATTCATAACAAAATAGCAACATGACACCCGAGCCTGACCTTGCAGTACCCCCTTCACTAGCCGTCGACTATCAACCGATCCAACGTTGTCGAAAACTGCTTAATCTCCCCCCGCTAACAGTCCAGAACCCGTTTCGGCTGTAAATTTTTCGTTTCTTCGACCAAGCGGAATTCCAGCCATAATGCCGACAGGAGAAATCCCGACAACCCAATAATTTTCGGTCTTTTTACCGATAAATGGTTTTAAATGAAATTTCTGGTTGTCGGTATCTTGGCTGTCGGTATTTTGAATGTCGGTATTTTGAATGTCGGTATTTTGAATGTCGGGATTTTCGATGTCGGCATTTTCGCTGTCGGGATTATGGTGTTTTCTCAAAAAAAAAACACCCACTATAACGGATGACGTGGAATACGGCGATGTAAGATTGAAGATCAACGAATAGTGCAGGCGCCGGCCTTCAGACTCGCCACCCTGGCGTTCCCCGCCGTTCCCACAAAGTTACAGCTTTTCCCGCCGGCAGGCGGAATCGGGAAACGCGAATCTTTTCCGGAATGGGAATTCTTTGTAAGCCATAAAAAGTTTCCAAATTTCTGCCCAAAGACGTGGCGACAACTGATTGTTGTGATTTTTGACCAAAAAAATGATAGACCCACCTCCGCATCCTGGGCATCTACCGGCACGTAGACGACCATCGCTACCGATCGTGAGGGGGCTAACTGGATCGACGGTGCAGACGACGTTTCATCATTTCATCTGAAGAGAGACGTGAGACTTCAGCAATCAGTCATCAAACAAAAAGCTGGTCAAAAAACAAATAAAAAGCTGGTCAGCCAGAGGGCATAAAAAGAGAGAGAGAGAGAGAGAGAGAGAGAGAGAGTGAGAGTGAGAGAGAGATAGAGAGAGACAGAGAGATAGAAAGAGAGTTGTGTGAGAGAAAGCGAAATATGGAGAGAGAGATGGAGATAGATAGATAGAGAGAGAGAGAGAGAGAGAGAGAGAGAGAGAGAGAGAGAGAGAGAGAGAGAGAGAGAGAGAGAGAGAGAGAGAGAGAGAGAGAGAGAGAGAGAGAGAGAGAGAGAGAGAGAGAGAGAGAGAGAGAGAGAGAGAGAGAGAGAGAGAGAGCAAATAAACCCAATAAAAAGTGGCATCTACACGCGCTTTTCGTGTTCCCGAAAATTGAAAAGCTATGACCTTGGTGTTGGGTGATGCACGGAAAAAAGTCGGCTGACTGTTGTCTGCCCCTTTTTTGGCCTGCACCAGTGCCAGAGCGACAGACATAAACACATATTATCAACCATGAGAAACTACGTAATTTATATCATTCCTAAAAATTTCTAGCGCATTTATAGAGAGCAAAATTCTTTTGGATTTTCGTGGGGAACAAACTTTTTCTTCAGCTCTAATTTTCCAAAAATAAATAGTGGAGGTGTTTTAAAATGGTTTTTACTATGCCTAAACGTCAAAACTTTGCATATTTTTATTAAAAAAACAGCAAAAATATCGATTTTGCGACCAAAAAGACCGGGTTTTGACCAAAATTTCGACTTTTTTGTAAAAAGTTCAAAGTTGTTAGATTGTTTTTCTGGTTGAAATATAGTTTATTACTAAAAACACTTTATATTAACTTATTAAGCGTTTGTAGACATATACAAAAAAGTTAGGTTGGGTTCCCGTCGGAATGGCGTGCATTCAATGGTTCCCTCTCCATTGTTTATGCTAATTGAAAGCAGGCATAAGCTGGCCAGCCAGACGGCAGCTGGTCCCGTTTCGCAGGGCCGGCTAGAAGGATACCAGGGGCTGTAGATATAGAGAGGCTGTGGATTTCTCTCCACTTCTGCTCAAATTTTTGGCTATAAAAAGCTCATCAAAAAGTATAAGAATAGAAAATTTCGATCTTTTTGTCGAAAATGTACGAAAAATTACCAAAAAAATTTCAAAATTTTCAAAGTGTTTCAAATATTTTATGCTAGCGATCAAAAACTACAAAAAAACTGTATCAAAATTGGAATAAAAATGTAAATCTTGCCTTGCCCTCGTTATGTACATAAAGCATTCGTTTATTTCTGTACATAGAAGACACAATCGATCGACTACAATAATAAGACAAACAAAAATCACTAGAGAAATCAATGAAAGCACATAATATATCTCTGTTCTCTAAAACTGTGTTCAAAATGCGAGTGAATGCTTCGTCTAGGCGTGTTCCTTGCGCTGCTGCCGGTGAAGAAGACGCCTAAAACAAAATTTCAGAAAATATCGATCGCTCTCACCGTTCGCGCTCATACTCCTTGATTCGCATCAAATGATCGTCGTATTCGCACTTGTCCCAGGCACCACGTTGGTCGTCACAAGCGTGGCCGGCGAATGGAGCGTTTTTCGTCTGAAAAATATTCAATGTTCGCAATGGACTGTCGCACGGGCATCAATCTTACGTTCCCGTTGAGAATCTTGTTTAGAACGTTTCAGTAATTTTTATTGCTTAAAATTAACATCTAAAAAGGTGAAAATTGGAAGATTTTGGCGTTTTCCTGAAAACTGTGTCAAATGCTTGATTTTTTCGAAAACTTTGGATTCCCTGTTAAAAAAAAACCCCCCGCTAACAGCCTAGTACTGCAAAAAATTTACCTGACACTTCATGAGGTCGATCAAGTGATGCGCACAATAGTCCCGTTGCCCGGGCTTCAACCGGAACTGCTCCATCTCTTCCCAAGTGGCCTTCATCACACGTTCCTGAAAGGTAAAAGTTAGAAAAATAGCCATATAGAAATAACCTTTCGCGGGCGCTCGAAACCCGCTTGCGGGTCGAAGGTGGGCGGCCGATCGGTTCGCGGGGCCGTTTCCGGAGACAGGGCCCCTTCTAACGAGACCGACAGCTTGGTGCCCATGCCTGGAAAAGGACCTGTATCATTTATTTTTAAACCCATCCCAAGAAAGAAAAAATGGAGAACAACTGCGATCCAAAGAAGCCACGAATCTCGGTACAACAATTGAGAAAGGTGATATTTCAGCATTATAAGGCGGCAATATATTATGACACGTAGGAAACTTTGAGTCAGCTAATCACAGCGATTACAAGTGAAGGGTGTACCAGAAAAAAATTAGAAACACACGAAAAATGCGGTAAATGGCGATCAGAGCTCGGCGTGCATGATTCCGTCTTCTCCAGTGTAATCGATCAACGACGCCGAACGTCCGGCTACCCGGCCGAAGACGACGCATTCCAGCAGGGAATTTCCGGCCAGACGATTCGACCCGTGCACTCCGCCGGTCACCTGTAAAATATTTTGGTTCCTGTATTTGTCATATTTGAACGAATTCTAGAACGAATTTAGGGTTGAATTTTGCTAATCTAAATAGAGGAGGTGTTACTAAACTGTTTTTTACGATTTAATATAGATTTTGGGCTAAAAAAATTCACGATCTTCGAGCAAAATCTTGAAATTTTATACAAACTGGGAAAGTTGTATGAATAGCCCTATATAGCAAAATTTCGGACACCCCTCCACAGAAATACCAAAAAGGTCGAAAGATTTCAAACTTTGCAACGCAAAAAATCACCTCTCCAGCAGCCAGGAGCCCCTTGAAAGAGCGGTCCATGAACTCGTTGAAAACCTGGGGAAAATCTATTTAGAATGTAGGAGAAGCATTTACGAAAGCATTGCGGTCGATTCTCAATCCGCCCATCGTGTAGTGGAGGGCCGGGGTGACGAGTGCCGCGTACACTGGCTTGTCCAACGCCACAGCAAACGGGAACACCGTTTTTCCTGAAAAGCAGTCATTCGCAATTAGAAAACACAAACCAAAAAGATCCTTCTTCTTTTTGCCCTCTGCCTCAACGATGGCATTGTATTCTCTGATCGTTTTCTCGACCTATAAACGAACGTTGAGAGAAATCTACCAAATGTCACCTCCGTGTAGGGAGCTCCCAGGGCCGCAGCAAACGCCTTGATATCGTCGTACTTGGTAAAGAATTTCTTGACATTCGCGTAGAAGCCGAACGCCGGGCGCCCGAACGCGTCCGCCATCTCGTCGGTCATCAACATTATAGCGGCAACGTGCGGGCCTGAGCCACCCTACAAAATACTACATTTTTTCCCAGATCATCAAGATTACCTGAAAACTCTCCACTTTCTCGCATTCCTTGTTGATCCGGCCGGTCAGGTAGTCGCGTCTGCCCAGTTCATTGCCGATTCTACATAAAAGCAAATTAAACATTTTATTTGTAAAACCCTACCGTTTTCCTTTGGAGTTGAGTAGCAGGGCTCCTTTTCCCCTCAACGCCTCAGCAGCCAGGAATTTTGTGTTGTCCCCAGGGGTCTTTGGGTCGATGAAAGCCGTCGGATGGACCTAAATAAAGTGTCCAAAACCTAGCAAATTCCTCAAACCTGCACTTTGTTCATCCCGATCACCTGCGCGCCCATGGCCCGCGCCATCTTGACGCCATCTCCGCGTGCAAATGCGCCGTTGGTCGTGGGTAGATGCGCCTGAAATTCGTTTTCAACTCGGGGTTCTTTAGCATTTCGGGGGGAAATACGCAAACATGGACAGTACTTTTCAAACGGTCTTTTGATGAAAATAACTTTATGCTTGAAGAGGGCATAACTACGAAAAACGCTAATTTTGGTCGAAAACGGCCCTTTTTGGTCGATAAACACTTTTTCTGGGCTTTTTTTGTTAAGCAAAACAAAGTTTTAGGGTTTGGAAACAATGGATTATGCGGTCACTTCTAGTAAACACCAACCTTATCGCTAGCGAACTCGAGCAGCAGCGAAGCCTCCGAATCCTTGTCCGCTGTGAACCCGCCGGTCGCCAGAATTATGCCTTTGCCGTCGATCTAAAAAGCTTTTTGAAACTCTCTGAAGCCGAACCTCGTTGATGGTGCCGTTATGCAAGCGGACCCGCACGCCAACCATGTACTCGTTCCATGAAGACAGTCCCAGGACCTAAAACAAAGTTTTTTCAAGATTGCTATTTTTCCTACCTTCGTTTCAAGATATTCCGTGTATTTTCCTGGATTCTCTTCAGAGTACTGTTGTATTTTCGCATAGAGGGCCTGGAGAAAAGCGCTGTTTTTTCATAAAGCGAGATACCTTGATGATTCCGAGACCGACCGGCGTTGGGCGACCTTCTTTCGGCGAGGGAATCCAGTGGGTGCGGGGTACCGAGTGGCCGCCACAGAGATTCACGTCAGATAGGTCGACACCGGCCTCAGTCAAGAATCGCACGGCGTCTTCCGAATGCTCGACGAGCAACTGAAAATGGTTAGAATGAATCGATGCCAAATAAAAACCCACGCGCACAAGACTCTCGTCGTTTTCGTGGTCTCCGGCATTGAGGGTGTCGGTCTGGAACAGCGTCGCCGAATCTTCGATGCCGGCTTTTTCTTGAGCATCGGTTCCGCATGCGCTGATGCCACTCGAAGCCTTCGCCGAGTTGCCGCCAACTAAACAGCAGACCGCTTTTACGATACAGACGCTTGATAAATTCGTAATTTCGTTGCAACAAACCGTTCTTTTCTCCTTCGACGAGGACCACTTTCTGGCCATCTCGGAGCGCTTCAAGGGTTGCCGATAGACCCGCCAATCCAGCGCCAACCTATTTATAAGTATAGGAATCCAGCAAGCTGCCTACCACAATTATCGGTTCATCTTTTGTCGGGGCTGTTCGTCTCTTCGCCGCAGTGACGAGCACCGCCATGCAAAGGACGATCAGGATAGGTTGTCGCATCACCCAACCTAAATTTCAGCGTTATAGGTAATTTGTAACTGATGTTGTTAGAATTGCAACTCTTTTCGGAGAATGTGCTCGCTTTTACAAATCTTCCCCGGGCGGCCGAAGCCGTCAAGCGCACACATTTTGGTTGGCGCTAGTAATGTCTCGGAATCACGGAGCCTAGCCGGTGCTTACGGTATGGCTCTAATGAAATCTTGAAAGGACCGGTAAGGCAAACGGAAGCGGAATTCTTTCAAGAGATCGCTGTCCGGGGGTAATTGTTACCAAATATGCTTACATAAATCGTCAAATTATTTTTCTTCGCATCAGGTGAGTCTTTATCACAACCGGAAAATCAATCACAAAACGAAATTTATGGTGGCATTGGTTGCGCAACGTTTTCAGGGGGTTTGCGGCGGGGTGTGAGGGTTCTTCCGTTCCGGGTCGGCTTGCAACACCTTGTCGACGTCGACGCCCGGCTTACGCATCAGCGTCTCCAGCGCCACGCGCTTCTTCCTAAACAGCTTTCGATTGCAATTGTTGGTGCTTTCGCATTGTTGGGGGAGGGGGATTTCAATTTTTTGGGTATTTTTAATAACCCCCCCCCCCCACGATACTGCAGAAGAACCGAATAGTAAGTCGAGACGAAGAGCCCGGCGCAAAGTCACTGACGGGATGTTGTGGTAGAGCAGAAAGCCGAGAAAGAGCAGCACCCAGACGACGTTGTACGCGTAGCTGATCAGCAGCCCCGTCCACGGGCGCCCGACCACCACTGCAATTTATTGATCTTATTTATTTAATTTGGGTGTTTTTAATTTTGATTAAAGTGTAGGTGTATATAAGTTGTAAAGGCCATTTACAAAGTTGTAAATGGGCTTAAAAACGCTTAAAAATTCAGTTTGCAACCATTTAAAAAATCAGCGACCTACCATTGCAAAAGCGCCCCGTATAGTAGGGTAGGCATCGGCACATGAGTTGCGTGGCGTTGATGCCCTCCCACGGTTTTACCACTTCACACTTTCCGTAGGCACACCTGAAAGAAATTCGGTGCTTTCGCAATGTCGGGGGGGGGGGTAAACGGCACCTAAGCCGTAATTTTTCCTTTAGCTACCTCTAGTTTATCTTGGAAAAACCCTGGGCTCATTTCTTACAATCGAAAAAAAAGGCAACGTCACCAACGGGTTCAGGTAGTTGCGAAAGAGGTCGTCGCGTTCCCCGCAGTTCTGCACCACGATAGTGTAGCGGGCGACGAGGTATCGGTCGTCCTTCTTGTCCTAGACCGAACAGCATAACCTGGTATTTGCACAAAATTCAAAACAAAAACTTCGTTCCCGTACACGTTTTTTTTTGCATCGCGGGGGGAGTCCAAAGCGTAGCCTTAATTTATACTAAAAACGCTATGAAAATGCGTACTTTTACGTTACGTGCCAAGTCTGTTGGGAAAAATTCCTGCCGACTCGATAACGCAAAATAACCCGTACATCTTTGCTCACGTGCACCCAGCATTCCGCCCTGAGACCGTCATGAACCGGCTGCAGATTCCGCATCGCCAGCGAGCCGGTCGTCGTGTTCTGCACGAAGCGCGTGTAAGTAGAACCGCTGCAACGCGAATTACGGTCCGGGAAAATTTCACTTTACGGTAACTAAATAAAATGTCGATTTTTCGATTGGAATCGATAGATCTCGTCGAGTTCTATCATTTCCAGTTGAAAAAACTATTGGGACTCGCTTCTAAAAAAAGTTATAAACATTTTAAATTGGCTAGTTCACTTTACGGTAACTAAATAAAATGTCGATTTTTTGACTGAAATCGATAGATCTCAGCGAGTTCTTGCGTTTCCCGTTGAAAAAACGATTGGGACTAGCTTTTAATAAAAGTTATAAACGTTTTAAGGTGGTTGGTTCACTTTACGGTAACCTCGTGAAAATGCGATTTTTCGCCTGGGATAAATAGATCTCATCAAGTTCTTGTATTTACAATTGAAAAAACCTTTGGGAAAGTTTTTTGGAGGAGGCTACACTATATTTTTGACATTTGACTGTGACATTGTCAGGCAAGGCGGGCCGTCGCTTCGGATGGGCTGCCGCTCCACTCTTTCGAAATGGGGGCGCCCCCGGCCGCTTCGCCGGCCTTGGCGCCCCCATTTCGAAACCCTGTACGAGCTCGCACCCATCCGAAGCGACTAGGCCCCCGGTGGCACGAAGCCTTTTTCTAGTCGCAGAGCGGAGGAAGTAGCGGTCTCTTCCCCCCCAAATTGAGTGACTCCTGTTGCAAAACCGTCTTTTTGCTGTTTCAGAAATTCTGAAATTCGGTGGTAGTGCAAAATGTGTGCTAATACAGTTTTTCTTGCGACTTTTGCAGCGGCCCCGTATTTGGTACCCCAGTACGTTCACAACTCTTACGTTTTTTCCGTACAAAGGAGTCCCTCGTAGCCGAAACAGACTTTTTCGATGCGGGGTGAATTGGTTTAAAACAGCTATAACTTTTGTTAAAAGCGAGTCCCAATCGTTTTTTCAACGGGAAACGCGAGAACTCGCTGAGATCTATCGATTTCAGTAAAAAAATCGACATTTTATTGAGTTACCGTAAAGTGAACTAGCCAATTTAAAATGTTTATAACTTTTTTTAGAAGCGAGTCCCAATAGTTTTTTCAATTGGAAATGGTAGAACTCGACGGGATCTATCGATTCCAATAGAAAAATCGACATTTTATTTAGTTACCGTAAAGTGAAATTTAGCCTACGGTCCTGTAGGCTTAGCGGGAGAAGCACTTTTGACGGGGCAATCCTAGATCCTTTGATCTAAATTCCAAGAATGTTTTCCAGTGTTTTAAATATTCCTGTGCAAAAAAAAAACGACGAATTCCCCGTGCCATTTCAATTTCAATCGAAGAAACGAATTTTTGGATTCTAAAATCACCAAATACTTTTCAAAAATTGGCTGATTTTTTACCTTATTACCTTATTACCTACCCGTCGATCCACTTGGCCGACATGTCTCCGGGGAACGCGAGGTACCAATACAGTTTAGCCTCCACGTTCGAAAGCACAGTCGGGAATTTTTCCCGGATCGGGCATGGGACGACGGCAGAGTGGCCGACCGGAACGTAAAATTTCTCGTCACTGATCAGCAACGCCCTCTGGTCCTCGTCTAAAAACCTCACGAGATCTGCTTCCGGTAGAAGAACGACCCAGTTGAGAGAGAGAGAGAGAGAGAGAGAGAGAGAGAGACGGATATCTAAATCGTGGGCGAACGACTCACGCGTCAGGACCACGTTTCTCGCCACGGCTAAGCCGGTGGCCAACGGAAGCGCGGCGAGCAGCGCCAGCAGCCCACCCACGTTCAGCGCCATAGCAGAAATGTTTTTCGAAATGTGTGTGCCAAATTGGCGGCCCGGCCGGCGAATGCCAAATAATGGATGCAATGGCTAAACGTTAATTTAACAGTTCATCTAAATTTAGCTAACGAATTTAATTATACCAACGCGACGATCTAGGTATCCTTTACAGCCCTGAACCGACGTAAAAGCGATAAAACTTTATTAATGATGAGCACAGCACGTCAATCAATTGGAACAACAAACAAAGCCCGGTCGTTATAAAAAGATGTGGGGGATAGAGAGGGCAAATTCGATTAATCGGTCACCATTGGCAGAAGCCGATTTCTATTTTTTGGTGAAAGTACGGGGACACGAGAACGACAGCATGTTACGGAGGGTAATGTATAGCGTAGTAATTTCCAGTAATTTTACAATACAGCCAAACAGATATGGGAATGGCGGAAGTACAAACTTGGGGCGGGTAATTGAGGCTTACTTTAGTCGAGACGTCGCCGACGCGGATCGAAACGTTCTCTGCCGCCGTCATCACCACGTCGATCACGCGGCGGGCGATGATCGAAGGTGCGGCGTGGCGGTGAACGCCGCGCGGGCCGCCGACTCTCCATCGGTCGTTCGGGCTCTAAAAAATCACAGTGAAGTTGGAGCTCTCTTGGAAAGCCGGAAATCTCGTCGATAAAAAAACACCTCGGTACTGTTCTATTTAGCGAGGGGGGGGAGATAGGATTACGGAGCGACGGTGCCCCTACTCTTATATACTTAATTCCTTTTGCTGCCATTCGATAGTGTTTCAAAAATCTTATTTTTGATTCTTACTTAATTCAAGCAAAAAAAAACTTAACGGAAACTACTATAACAAAGACAATAATGTTACCCCGGCGAAAGAGAACAGTACCAAAAAAAATCAATTAAATATATAACCCACTCTTCTGTGGTGACTGCGCCCTCGGGTGCTTGTAGCTGCGACTTCGGCTGCGGCTACGGCTTCTGCGCGCAGGCGTAACGGCCGGCCGCGTCACGTCTTTTCGATCTAAAAATAGATATCATCGCCCAACAATTCCAATATACCGTAGCTGATCCGGCTGCCGAGGGGGACCTGTGCGCGCGGCGGGCGTGGATCTTCTAAAATGGCTAGCAAATGTGACGGTAATATTGCTGCCTAACCGGAGCCTCGAAAAACGGAAGTTGGAATTTTAATAATCTCGGAAATTCCATAGGCTTTTTAAGAGACTCTGAGATATGAACGATGGAATCTTTAGAAACTATGGAAAATTCGAGATTCGTAAAATTTTGCGTAGCCGTTTAGAGAAACCTCGTGCTCACCTGGGACATTGCTAGTAGCAGGTGACGGTTCAGGCTTCAGGATGCGAGCGGGGACATTTTCGGTGTCGTCTTCGGGCACCTCACCGTCCTCCAGACTGGCCTGGAAAAAAAATATGTTCTATAATAGAAATAAAGCGAATGTTTGTAGACAGCTCTCACAACGCTTAACAAACAAAGGCACCGAAAATACCGATATTTTTGACCGAGGTTACTAAGCCCAAGATAAAACAGTTTTCATACTTATCTTTGCGGCTCTAAATATAGCTAAATTTCACCAAAAAAACACTATTCAAATGGTTGTGCTCACGCTGGGAACTTAAAAAATTCGATACTAAGAAATGGGAAAAAATCGTTCCCGTATAACCACCAAATAGAAGCTGAATAGTTTCCGCGGAAACGTTTCTATATATCTGGTGGCAATAAAATCACAAATCACCTGTGCGGCAGCGGGTTCCAGTTGCTGGCGCAGCGTGTCCGGGCTTGAGGCGGGGCTGAGCGGCTCTTCCGCCTCGTGGTCTTCGTCTACTTCGGAATCGACCGCATAGTCCAGCTGGATCTCCTCGTCGAAATAGCGCATCGTGAAGGTAGTGGTCGATGTTGACGGCGCAACGGCAGCTGTAGCCGATGACATGCTAAATGAAGGTCGATTGATTGAATACGATCGAAAAAAATTCACATTTTGGGTTTTTCAAACGATATAATATAGTAGTGAGGAGGAATGGCAATTTAGGCCTCCTTATCGCATTATTCAGCGAAAAAAAGACAGTCCAAGAAAAAACTAATTCCGGTGGCAAAATCAAACTAATTGAGGTAGAGGGGAAACTAGACTTTAGCCCCAAAAGCGGCAGATGACAATCGCTGCATTGCGTTTTGAAAGAGCCCAGCATATCAAGTGATAAGTGCTAGCCTGGATGACGCACTAATAAGGGGAAGCTCTCAATGCTCAGCAGGTGAAAACCACTACGAAACTTTTGATACTTCACATTGACACAGAATTTATGAAAGAGAATATATTTTTTCAGGCCCATCACAAAACAGTCACACCCCCCTAAGCGAAAGTTCCAAGATATCTAACAACAATGTTGGATCGTTAAAAAACTGACCACTCCTTGCGCTTCTCGTCGGCACGAGAAGGGCCGTTCGAATCACGCGCTTCCTGCTTCGTTTCTTCTGTCGATGCCTGATCCTCAGGTTGTCGCCCTGTAGAAGAGGAAGACCTCGAAGATGCCGTCCTCACCGGGGCGATCGGCGACAGCCTAAAATATACTCAAAAATTTTCGAATTTGAACAAACATGTTCCCCTCGTGCCGCGTCATCTCCGCCAGCATCCGGGTGATGTCTTGGCACCTAAAAAAAAATATTAACTGGTTCAAGTAGCGCACATGAAAGTCAAAGCGCTTCTAAAAATTACCGTTGGTTGACAGGTTTTTCGGGTGGGTCCGCCGAAGTGCCAGCAATCACCGGAAGTGGGGTGAAGAGCCTAGAAAAGTGGTAAATACAACGAACAAGGTGCCTCACGTTTCCATCTTTCCACGCATCGAGGCTTCGAACGCGGCGCGCGGCAACGGTTCCGGGATGGCTGCACGTTTTCGAGGGGATGACCTAGGCATCTGAGCGTTAATAATAACGACGACAGACATTACCTTAATGGCGGGCGAGTAGCAGTCGGTTGTCGGTCACTCCGACTTGGGGCACCGGATGATGGCTGTTGTTGACGAGTTGGATATGATGGTGACGGGCTTCTAAAATCAATGTAAACTGTGATCAGATATAAAAAAATTATCTGGAATGGACGAACGTCGTAACCTTAAACCAACCTTGGCCCTGGGATCGGTGATGCCTTCGAAGCGACGAGACGGCTAGACGAAACAGCAGCGATTTCTTTTGTGGGCGGCTTCTTTCGCGGTGAAGTCCTAAAAGATCTCGTACTTCGGTAATTTAATATTTCAATGCCGAAGGGTCCCCTTGCCCCATGTAATTCCACAGCATTGCAACATAATAGCAAAAAAACGGCCGTTTAGCCTTACCGGAGCGGTGCACTTGAAGTGGGGTTTTCGGACGTCGCTGTCTTGCCTCTACGCTGTTGCCCCTGCACCGTGGCCGTGATGTCAGGTTTGAGCCGTTGTGCACATGGCAAATGACTTAAAAAGGGCGTTGGTTAAGGGAGCAAATCCTTAGCACCTTTTCGTGGGCTCCGACTTGTCGATTTTCTGGCGCGACCCGGGTTCGGCTGGTCGGCTCGTCGACTTTTCAGGTGGTGGTGGAGGCTTCTTGCGCGGGGACGTTCTTAAAAATTGGCTTACGAGAAGTTTATGAAAAAGCAACCTTCTGGGCCCGGGGTCGTTGTGCTGCTTGGTCCCGTCGGGCCGAATATCGGACGTCGAGGGCCTGGCCGTCGTTTCTTCTGGGCGCTCCCTGAAAAGGAGAACATTTATTAAAAAGGATTGATTATTTTTCTATGATTGCCCAGTTTTTTTTAGAAAACAAACAATTCTTTGCTTTTCCACTATCCAAAAAAAACATGAAAACTTCGAAAGTTTATCACAAAATATAAATTATTTATTTCCTTTTGATCGAAATTTTTGAACCTAACTCTAAGTTTATTTTAATCCATGAAATATTGCAAAAATGCCCGTCACACTCTAATTTAACAGAAATTTGGTTTCCCAGCACCAAAAAACATCCTCACCTTTTCGCTGGTCTGCCTGTCCCTGTCGATTTTGTGCACGCGGGCCGCTGTTCTTTTGCCGCTTCGTTAATGTAGACGACGGGTCCCGATTCGAGATGAAGGTCCATCAGTGACATGAGCTTCGGCGGTATGGGCTTCTTCTGACGCCGAAACATCTCCTTCGTTAACTCCACCGCCAATTCGGGCACCAGACTTTTCACCTGAGCAAAAATATAAAATATTTCAAAGACGTTGCTCACATCTCTCAAACTGAGCATTGTCATGGATTGTTCGGGGCGGAGCAGCGTCGGGATGCCATGACGGTCCTCATCGAGCCCATGCAAGTAGACCCACTCGTGCAGCTGCGTCAGGGAATCGAACGTCAATTCAACGGTCATACTGCTTTTGTGGCACTTCATGTAACTGAAAGGAGAAATTTATGCTATTCGGTGATTCTCGGGCTCCCATTTTTTCTAATATAAGTAGAAGAAGGTTTCTAATTTTAAACACTATTTCTAAACGTAAAAACTCAAACAAATTTGCAGTTTCAGATCAGGTTCCATTTTAATTGCCTGCCTAAACCATCTTTCTTGCCTTTCTAGACTATACTAATAATTTCACGATTGCATAAGCGCCCTTTTGCAATCGGACTGTAAACTTACGATGGAACGATCCGATCTTCAGTCGAGGGACGAAAAGCAAGCGCGCAGTTCGGGCATTTTGACAGCGGCTGCGTATTGAGGCTATAAAAAAATGACCCTCCATGCCTTTTTTTTTACACTGAATACCGGTTGCGCAAAGTTTCATTCTCCTCCTTCCATTTGTTCGTCTCATACCGGGCCACGCGTAGAAGCTGTCGAAGCTGCTCGAGCATCACCGAGCGCTGGTTGGCACATCCCGCGTCGGAGCAATTAATCGTGGTCTGATAGGGGGTTCTTTAGACTCGAAAAGAATTTACCTTTTCGAGATCCTTGATCGGCGAGGTCCCCTGATCGCGGCGTGATGGGCCGAGGGAAGCCGAGCCGCTGGTCGCTCCGAAGACTTCTAGGGTAAAGTTGAATTAATATTAAAGGAGATCTACCTTCAAGCAAAACATCCTCGTCGATTTCCGAAGAGTCAGACAAAAAGAGTTGCTGGGAGAGCGTTTCGGAGACCTAAAAACGATTATCGGAGGGCAATCGAAACCCAACGGCAGAAGACACATCCGCGGCTTTCTCCTCCTCGCCCTGGTTCATTCCAGCCAAGTCGGAAGCTCACTTGTAATGTGAGGGCTGCCTGCAATCGAAGAGTTATGAAATTGTGAAAAATGGTTATGAAATGGAACAAAATTGGAAAAGAAGCTGTAAAGGAGTTACAAACTCTAGTTAAGAGTCCGGCTGCTCCACCCCAGTTTTTTTTTTTAAATGCAGCATTTTTGGACTACCACATAATGCATTCTTATTAACTAGACGATGACGACGATTTTGGTAACTTTTATTTACCAAATTTATGCATCTTTTTGAACAAATGGTAACCGACCCCGGAAAGGGGAGGATGTCAGAAGCGCCAAAGCAAAAGCGCCAATCACTAAAGCGCGCAGGCAGAAGCGCCAAACGAAAAGCGCCCAACGCCAAAAAGCGCCCAATGCCCAAAAAGCGCCCAATGCCCAAAAGCGCCCAATGCCAGAAAGCGCTCTATGGGGAAAACCAACGTATGGAGAGAGGAAACAATTACATAAAGTAGAGATAATATAGCTGTTTTAATAGGTTTTCTGGTGTTATTATGGTAGTTTAGCGGCAGTTCGACCTACTAGGCCATAAATTACCGACTGGGTCAAGTTATTTTGGCCTCCTAGGGCATTCTTTCACTCGAATAGCTAGTTCTCTTCTAAAGCAGCTTTTCCACTATTTCTGACGTAGTTTCTTGATCTCTACATGCTCGAACCGGTCCGAATATACATTTCTAATGTGAGAAAGGTATAAACTCGCCGTGGAAAGGTTGTTTAGTGCCATTTTCGGATCCATTACCCGGAAATACGGCGTTTTTCTCGTCGTTCTGGCCTCCAAACACTGTTTTATAACAAGTATTTCGTGCTTGCAACAGTATTGTGACTGAAAACATCAGAAATCGTGAGAACATGAGGCAAACCCGGTAAAACTAGAGACTGAAACACGGCAATTCAAGCCAAAAAGACCCAATAAGGCCAAAACAACCCGCTCGGGGTGATAATTTGCCGTCTACAAAGCCTACCTATCGCTAAACAACGTTTAAAAGGCATACAAAGCTTGAAAAAAGCCATTTTATGTAATTGTTTCCTCTCTCCATACGTTGGTTTTCCCCATAGAGCGCTTTCTGGCATTGGGCGCTTTTGGGCATTGGGCGCTTTTGGGCATTGGGCGCTTTTTTGGCGTTGGGCGCTTTTCGTTTGGCGCTTCTGCCTGCGCGCTTTAGTGATTGGCGCTTTTGCTTTGGCGCTTCTGACATCCTCCCCCGGAAAGGCGTCTGAGCGTAACATTTCGGAATTTCAGTAAATGAACATTTTTGAACTCTCGAACTCTCGAACTTTACAAGTGCCAATAACAAATAATTCGTCGAAAAAAGTTAAAAGTCTAAAAAAAGTAAAATAATTCGAAAATTAAAGCTTTGGCGCACTTTGCATGGTATGTACGAGCCATTACTATTGGCCTTGATAAAGTATGGATGCACCGAAAAAAATAGTCAGAACTTTTGCAGTTGTATCCCCTGTTCGATTTCATCGTAAAAGTTAGTGGTTTTCAATAAAAGTAAATTGAAATCGCTTTATAGGATGAAGTGGAAGCCATTGAAGCTAAAGAGCATCTCGTTGCGGGGTTTCATCTCCCCAAAACTGTCCTTTTCAGCTTTTTTAAAAGGTCGATTCGATTTTCCGTAAATTGTTCCATTTTGGCTACGAGCTAGCTACAAAAACTATCAGAGCCAATTTGTTTCGCACCGGGACCACCAAACGATAACGAAAATCTTATTTTGCACGATTTGCGCCTTCTTCTGCTACTCTCGCTCCAAGGGAAATCCGTTTACCACATGCATTTTCAGGTTCGAAATGGCTGACGTTGAAGTGGAAGCGCCTCTAAACTTCGACGCGCTCCAGGTTTGGATTAGCATTTGAAAATTACGAGTTTTTAGGGCCTCACAACCGATGCCTACAACCAGCCCACCAAGGACACCAAGATCTTCAAGGACGAGTGCATGTACTGCTTCAACACCCCATATTTTGAAGGTTTGGATTGTTGACCTGTCGACAACGTTGTTTAGGAGGGCTCTACGTCTGTCTCAAGACCTACTGCGCGTTCTGCCCGTGCCACATCGCCGACTATGCTGCGCGTACACGTAGCACGGCCTTCGTGCAAGTTCTCAGCAAAAAGGTTCGGTTGCCTCAAAGCGTAAAATTTTTTTTATTACAGGTCCCCCTCGAGCAGCATAACGAGCCCGAACAGAAGATCAGTCGTCTGGCCGTCGGCGTTGAGGGTGGATTTGGGGAGAAGTGAGTTTGTTTTTCAAGTTAACCAGTTTTTCGGCTCGAGGGCTTTCTACTCTACTGTGCGTAGTCCCTTCCCCATTTTCTCTTACTTCTAGAAGCTTCTGTGTTTGGGTCAGGCTCGAACGCTTAGATTTTTTTCTCTACCTTGAGTACGTTGCACCCCGCGCTTTCTGCTTTTGCTTCTGGAGTAGTGTGTAGTTGCTAGGCATTTCTTGCAATTTCATAGGTATCAGTTTAGGACCATAATGTTTATTATGCCTGAGATTATTGGAAAGTGCGGATATTTGTCTAATATCCGGGGGCGGTCCTGGGTGGCGGGCAGTGGTCGCAAGATCCCTTGGGTCCATCGGCTCCAGCCTGTCCGTTCTCGCCGGGGGCTCCGGGGTTTCCGGGCTGTCCATCGCTGCCAGCATCTCCCATAGGTCCGGGCTGTCCGTCGCGTCCGGGGTTTCCGGGCTTGCCATCGGGGCCGGGGGGTCCTTGGGGTCCGGGCTGTCCAGGGGCTCCGGGGGGTCCAGGAGGCGAGGGGACGGTGCGGGTCTGGCCGGGGGCACCGGGAGGTCCCTGGTTTCCGGGGTTTCCTGGGGCTCCAGGGGCTCCGGGAGGTCCGGGGGGTCCAGCAGTTCCGGGGCGTCCAGCGGGTCCGTTGTCTCCGGGCTCTCCGGGCTGTCCGTTGGGTCCCTTGGGTCCTAAATAGATCGTGTAGATTTGAGAGATTAAAATTAGCGCAAGTTGTTCGATTGGGTTTTATGAATTACCTGGGGATCCAGCGGGGCCAGCGGGTCCCTTGGGGCAGATGAAGCAGAAGTCGTCACGGGTGGGCTTGGCAGAGTCGTCCTGGGCGTCGGGGCCGTTGGATCCGGGAGATCCGGGGCGACCGTCGTTTCCGGGGGCTCCGTCCTGTCCAGGGGCTCCGGGGGGACCGGCCTGGCCAACTCCGCAAGAGCAGCACTGGTACGAGGCCTGACGCTTCTCGCGCTCCTTCTCGCCGCTGCGGTACGACTCGAGCTGAAATTAGGGGGTTTCTAAGCGTACTTTATGATTTTTGGGGTTTATTTAAAAGCAGTACCTTGGAGTACTCGCCGCGAAGTCCCTCAGCGCGGGTGCGGCAGAAGTTCAGCTCATCCTGAAGGCCGGACTGGACGTTTTGCATGTACATGCAAAGCATCGGCACGGCGACGATGGCGGTCAAGGTGGCGATGGTGCTAAAAGGAAGCTGAGGCTCTTCAGGAGTCTGGTTACCTGACGGCCACTCCGAAGAAGGCGAACTTCTTGACCGACTCGGCCTCGACGAGCTTCTGTTTGTCCTCCATACCCGGCTGAAATCAGATGAATGGGGAAAATAAGTAGCTTTAGGAGCAAGGGAAAATGAAAAGAACGCTGAGAAGTCGTGAAGAAGAAGCGTTGAAACTCCATTTTTGGATAAATAAAGCGATTGAAAAATTTCTGGAAGAGAAAGTTCCAGGCGTTCTTTGGGATATCTCTACTTTGCGAAAAAGGAAAAGTTTGGCGGAGACGGCTATTTTGGATGGGGTGTGGAGGGACTGCTCCGTTTTGAAACTGATGGTCTGCCACTGGGGAACTGATCCTTTTATACCAGTCGGGATGCTGCTGGGCGCGCCATATCCGAAAAAAGTGAACGGAAAAGGGGGCTCAGCGTGCACTCTCTCCCCTCCGCGCCCCGGCCTTATTTGGGCCTATCCCTCGCACCAACTAACCTAGTTGATAGCCACTATCTAGCCCCGGCCACCCCAACCTCGTGAAAAAGACGCTGAAAAACTGGATGCTCAAGGTGGCATTCTTTTGCCGCCGGTCTGCGCACCCCTCCCGAGTTCGGCGGGCCATTGATAATACGGTGGCCATGAGAAAAAACAGCCGCCCGGTTGAGAGCCGGGTGGAATGTACGAGGAGGAAGCCGTGTTTTTTACACCCACGCGCCGTCTACGACCCATTTTCGGTTGCTGAAAAGAACAATACGCTCGGCGTTTTCGGTTTTAAGCTTCTAATATAGATTTTGAATTGCTTTAGCTTTAACATAGACTTGCGCAAAACTCTCGACGCTCATATAGCCAGTGTGCTGACGCTCCGAGTAGACCCCTAGACTTATCTCTCATCAAATGGCAAAAAAACGGTGCTCGCAACACCTCGCGGCAGTCAACAAATCTTCCCGCTTCCGCCAAAGGTTTCGCCCCAGACGCCCGGGCTTACGGGCGATATGTGAACGCCATAACTGGTTTCATTTTTAGTCGCAGGCGTCTTAGCTCAGTGCCGGCGAAAGTGGCAGAAAAAAAGGTCGCAGGCTTTTTGCCCCTGTCTTGGAAGGTGAAAATGGCGCGCTTATCGGCTCAGATATGACCTTGTGTATGGTTTCTAGGGGGTATTGGGATGAAGGGCTACTGTAAATTGTTTGTCGGAGCGAGCACATGCGTAGTTGCGAGTTTTAGCGTAAAGCGTTGTGGCCATAGCATCCACCCCTTGTTTTGGACCCAATTTTGACGATGATGAGTTCATTGTTTTTGCTTTCAGGTTCGACATCAGCGACACCTACTACTTTGTCATCTACCCGGAAACAGCCCAGCGCTTTCCCATCGATGAGAAGCTTGGCGCGAATCTGTACGCCGCATGCAACAAGGTAGCATTTCCCTTTTTAGCTGACTCCTTGCTTAGGTCGTCATTACGACATCCGCTGAGCGACTCGAAGTGCTCCAGAATGCTTCGAACGCTTGGGATGGCGAGGTTTGTCCAGGCGTTCCCTTTTTTCATTTTTTTTTTGTGTTTTCAGCTGAAAAAGGCGACCAGCTACGAGCTGCAGCAGCTGAACAATGGGAAGGCGGTAAGCGTTTGCAGCATTTTGTTAATGGTATTTTGTTTTTGTAGATTCCCTACAGCAATTGGATGTGCGAGGAGCCGGGCTGCGGGCTGATGGAGAACCTGTGGCTGAATTTGACGGATGGTGCCATTCGGTACGTTTTGTTGGAGTTTACGGAGAATTTGTAACTTTCGCTGCCTATTCCTAGCAAATAAAAATCCAAATTAAAGTTTGCTGAGGCTAGAAATTAGTTTTTTTTTTTCCAGTTGCGGGCGTGCCCAGTTCATCAGCGAAGGCGAGAAGAGCAAGGGCAACAACCACATGAAACAGTACTACGACGCGACCGGCTATTCCCTTGTGGTTGGTGCGCCGTGTCGTTTCTGTAGGCAGCTAAATCTAGGTAAAACTCGGGACGATAGAACAAAATGGCAATGCTGACGTGTTCTCGTATGCTGAAGATGATGCGGTCGTCGACCCGAACTTGCGCAAACACCTCGCCCACTTTGGACTGGACATTGACTGCTTGGAGAAGACGGAGAAGAGCACGCTGGAGCTGGAGCTGGACATGAATCAGAAGTGAGTTTGTGCTTGAAAAAAAGTGGCTTTCGAATGTTCCTCACCAGCGGTACTTTTTTGTACCCGGAACATCCTGGGGTTTTCTTGGACACGGAATCCCCCCTTCTCGGCGTACATTTTTTTCGTCGCTGTGCCCCGTGCGGGAACCCTGTGACTGGGACGACCCGGGGACTGGCAGTAGCTGCGCGGCGTAGTCCAGTAAAAAATTTACGAGGTTGAGCAGCGATAAAGGGATGCCTTGACTAGGATCTTGCTAGCCGAGTGGCGTCGGTGATTTCGTGAAGGTTGACGGTACCCCTGCGCATTATTTGTTAAAGTAGATTAGATGTGCATTAAAGTGTCGGCCCTCTAGTCTAATAGTTAGGGGGTTTCGGACGCTGGGATTTTTTTTTGCTTTGTAGTGCCGCTAAAATCGCGATCGATAGGTAGTGTAGTAATAAAATAAGCGGGTGCGTTTTATCGGTTTTATTGCTCAACATATTCCAGATTTTGTTTCGTCTATTGAAACGGCTGGTTGAATGAAAGCACCGGCTCGTTAGACCGATAAATTGGCGATTAGGTGACTTTTGAGAACGTGATTTTTAATGAGTCGAGATGCGCGCCCTCGGACCCAACTTCCGTTTGTAGCTGTTCCGCAGCGGCCCCGGCCCGTTCAACCCTTTGTGCACACCGGGGTACGATATCTGTCATCCATAGCCGACGAAAGCCCGATTAGACTTATCCGTCCCCGACATTGGGCTACTCACTTTCCTTGCCCGTGCCATGACCTTGCTGGGGTGCAAGGGATACATCTCGGCAGCCGCCATTAGCTCCCCCCCCCCCCGTTTCTTGGATAACCCCCGCGCGGTCCCGGGGCTATCTCCTCCCGGTGGCAGGGGCAGCGCTCGCTTTTTAGAGCGGCAAAGACCGCCGTTTTTCATGACGCCCCCGCTCCCGCGTCCCGGCATTCCAAAATAGGTCGCTGGGGCTGCTGTTGAGGGGATACCGGGGGAGATACACAGGGATATACTTCCTTGAGGGGGAGCAGTTTTTTATTACCCGGCAAATCGAGGTGGATGTTTTGAGGGTCGCCAAGTAAAGGCAAACAACTACTGTAGTCTAATCTTGTTTGCCAGGGCACATGGTGACGTGATTTTTGACTGCAAGAAGCCCCAGACTACGTTTTTATAGCCTAAGCGTATGTCGGGGGACAAAAAGGCGTCAGTTAATCAGTTGCGCGAGGGAAAGGGCCTATCTCTGCACCTCTCGCCTAGGCCTGTGTTGTCCGTATCTCTTTAAAAGCCGAGCTAAGAATCAGCTTGCGCTTTTCTTTATTGAAATCAAGCCTAGCTCAGGAATCTCGCGCGGACTGGGTGACATTTTCGTAGTACTGTAATTTCGGCCCGTTTCTGGCACTTTTAATAGGCTAGACGCGAGAATGTACAACGTTTTTTTTGCCATCCTATCCCGCACAGCCCCCCGCCTTTTCTCACGAAAACCGGTTCCACCAAGATGGGCCGATGCCGAACACGGCGGCCCCGTCGCTGACCGATTACAAAAGCGTGCAATTAAAAAAATAAATTTATCTTCGGGGGCGGGGAAAACAATTCTAGTAGCCGGGGGCTGTTCTGGGTGGCGGACAGTGTTCGCAGCTGCCGCCAGAGCCGGTGCTCCCGAATTCGCCGGGCAGTCCGTTGTCGCCGGGTCGACCCGGGTTCCCGTCCTTGCCATTGTCGCCAATTTCGCCGGGCGTGCCGTCGGAGCCAGGTTTTCCGGGCTGACCTGGCTTTCCGTCGGGCCCTGCCGGTCCTGGGGGCCCGGGTACTCCAGGCGGACCTGGTGGGGCTGGCACTTCGCTGACTGCTCCGTCGGGACCCGGTTCGCCTAGAGGAGCATTTTTTAATGTTTTTTTTTGACTAGCAGGATCTTCTTTTGAAAATTTCCATATCAAGATACGCACCTGGGATTCCGGCTTCTCCCTCTTGTCCGGGTGGCCCCTGAGGGCCGGGGATACCATCCAGTCCCGCTTTCCCATCAACCCCAGGCGCTCCAGCTTGCCCTGGTTTTCCGGGTGGCCCCTTGATACCCACATTTCCGGGGGGACCAGGCGGGCCGGGTGGGCAATCGAAGCAAAAATCGGTGTCTGACAGCCCGTTGTCCCCATCGGTATCGTCACCGGGTCTACCGTCTTCCCCTAGAAAGAATATGCTCCATTAGGCTGAACGTCTCCGAAAAACCTGGTAGCCCGTCCATTCCATTCCGGCCATCATCGCCGGGGGGTCCAGGCGGACCTACTGGGCCCGTTTTGCAGGAGCAGCACTCGTTGTTGGCAACGTACAGGGGTTCCCGTACGCCGGCATTCTCGTTCGTTGAGTAACGTGTCGTTGTCAACTCTTCGTCATAACCTTCAGTGGTAGTGGGGGTAGAAGTGACCGGGCTGCTTGAAGTTGTTGCTTTTTTTGGCGCCGAAGTTGTAGACGCGGGCCCTGAGCTGCTGGCCTCTCCATCGTAAGACTGGCGTTTTACGATCACCTGAAAAGGGTATTGGTTTAGTCCTGGGGAGTCACATTTTTCGTAGCTATTGCCGCTTTGTAAATAACATACCCGGCCTCCCTGAACGCCTTTTATCGTCTTCAATCGCTCAAACTGCGTAAACAGCCCGCCTGTGCGGTGCTTGCAGAATTCAACCTGAAAAACAAGTGTTGACCATTTGGCTTGGTGACACCTCATTCTGGAGCGTCGACTGTACATGCTGCATATAGTTGTAGAGGGCGGGAATGGCGATTATGCAAGTCAGGGTCGCGACCGTGCTAAAATCGTCCTTTAGGTGAATTTTTGATGCGTAATGAGTGATGGTTTCAGTTCGACTAAACACATCAACAAAATTTTCAAATCAGCCAATTGCGATGGCAACCGAAATTTTTGGTGAAAATCTCCGTCATCTCTCTCCCTTTTACGAAAAATTAGTATACACCGGAAGTCGGACAAGCTGTTATAAGGGGGTGGAGAGCACGCTATTCATTTTTTGTGTAATGGGGCTTCAGGAATTTCTATGCAAGCGAAGATATCGTTTACCGTGAAAAGCAGTACACCATCTGGGCGACCGTTTGACTAACCTGATCGCCACGCCGCAGAACGCGATCCTTCGCAGGCTTTCGGCTTCATGCAAACTGATTTTCGGGTAACTGGGGACGTCTTTTGAGTCGCGAAACATGGGAGCGACTGCTTTAACTAGGCCGTGAGCACTGGAATGAATTCGGATGTTGGGCCAGCCGCGCAGCGTATGGGCGAGCGTCCTAAGACTGTCGAGCGATATATACGGGGTGGCTTCAGGCGGAGGGGGTTGAGGCTCGACTTGTCTCCCTCACGTAATGCCTTACGAGCGCGCGCACGCAAAAACGGGCCCCTCATGAGCAATCCGGGGCGCTTATGAGGGACGGCAGTGAGTCGGGTATGGGAAGCGTGTTTTTCGCGTTGGGGCATTCACCGCATTGGAATGTCTTTAGAGGGGAGAGGACGACTGCTCTGGATGGCATTAATTGTATGCCGATATGCGCTTGACATAGTGTTCTCGCCTTGTTTGAGGTAACACTGACCCCGCTGGGAACGGGGTAATCAGTGTCGGCAGAAAAGTGTAGCTGTAGATCGAAATCGGTTAATAACATTTTCTACAATGCACAATCAGCGCACCAAAACTATATTCAAATTTTCCAGGTGGGAATGGTCGCGGATCCAGGAAGACGGTGCCAATTTAGTGAACGCTTACGGCCCCGGGATGACGGGATTGATCAACATCGGGTCCAGCTGCTACATGAATTCGGTGGGTTTTGAGGATTTGCATTAATTTCGCCGAATGCTTTTCTGAACTCTAACGTTCAGTACGTCAAGTTTTCACTATTTTCACCATGCAATTTTCCCCGGAGCATCTAAAAACCAGGTTTTTCGATCGTTCGATCGGGACAACGGGCGGAAATTTGATGACTGCAGTAAGAAAAAAAATCTCATTCTGGGAATGGATTTGGTTTTTACTCCAACTCTAGCTAGCAGCTACCATACTTATCTTACAAGCAGCATTCGGCCAAATGAATGTTAACGGGTTTTGGGTAGTTTATACGATGAAATCTTTCCTTTTTTCAGGTCATCCAGGGTCTCCTTCTCGTGCCCGACTTTTGCGAACGATTTGGAGGCGCCAGGGCCCTCGAGACGCTCCACTCGCTGCCGCCGAACGACGTCTTCAAGGATTTCAACGCCCAGCTGGCTCGCCTCGTTTCCTCGATGATGTCCGGCGACTACGCGCTCCCCGACGGCCCGCACAACGGCATCAAGCCCACCCAGTTCAAGCGAGTCGCCGGCGCCAATCACCCCGAGTTCCAGACGGCCAAACAACAGGACGCCGAGGAATACGTGCGCTACATCATCGAGAAGATCTCGTCTAACACGCCGGCCGGCACCCCGGACCCGACGCTGGCCGTCAAGTTCAACAAGGAGGAGCGGCTGCAGGACGTGAATACGGGCAGCGTCCGCTATACGAACCAAGAGGAGACGATCCTTTCACTGCCCGTGCCAAAGGTGTGCTTTTATTTTTTTGTGCTTTCTCGTGGTTTTGAAAAATAATTCTCACGTTAGTGATTTCCGTAATTTTACCATTTCAGCTGGCGATGCATCCACTTCCCGATCAAGAAAATCGCTTCACGGCCGAGTTTGGCAGCTGCCTGGCGTCCGTCTTTGAGCCGGAGACGCTCGGCGAACGCTATCAGAAAACGATGCGCTTCAAGACGTTCCCCGATTTTCTGCTCGTCCAGCTGCAGCGTTTCACCATTGACGAGACGAACTTCCAGCAGAAGAAATTGGACGTGGATATTCAGGTTGTGGATTTGGCGTTCAAAATAATCCGTCGCTCCCAGGTGCCCGAACAGCTTGACCTGGCCGCCTTCCGCGGACATGGGCTGCAAGACGGCGAGGTGGCGATGCCCGAGAACGAGGAGGTCGTGGCGGTCGCCCCACAGCCTGCGGTCGACGAGAACGCGGTCGCGCAGCTGGAGGCGATGGGCTTTTCGCGGAACGCCTCGATGAAGGCCGTCATCGAGACGAAGAACAACGGGGCCGAGGCGGCTGCCGAATGGCTGATGGTTGGTTTTGTTTTCCATTTTCATTTGTGGAAATTGATCTTTCTAAAATAGAGGATTTCGGAAAATTCGCGTTTAGCTGCTAAAAAAAGCGGACGCAAGGCTTAGATAAAAACTATACTTGCTTTTCTGGAAAATATATGAATTTCTGAAAACCTTTCCTAAAAAAATAGTTTCCATAGGTGGTTTGCGCTTTTTTCCTGTCAACGGTTTCGCAGAAATATGCTCGTCTTCATTTTTGTTACCATTTCTGGCTCCACCTATTCACTCATTTCAGTCTCGCCTCGATGACCCGACCATCAACGACCCGCCAGCAGCCCAAGTCGCCGGAAGCGGTGCCGGTTCGTGCTTGTGATGGTTTCCCTAGCTATAATTTAGGCACTTCCGCCCATATCGACAACGAAAGTGTGGCCACCCTCGAGGGATTCGGCTTCACGAGGCACGAGGCCCGATATGGTCTACAAAAGTTCAACTTCGACGCGAACCGGGCCGCCGAGTGGCTCTTCGAGCACCGTGATGAGGTCCCGCAGGCCGCTGGCGAGCCTGCCGAAGCGGCTCCCGCTGCTGTGGCTCCACGGGCCGTCGAGATGAGGTAGTTCAGCGCCTCTTTATTGTAAACTTGTTCCTAGGGATGGGAACAGCGCATATCAGCTCGTCGGCTTCATCTCGCACATGGGCTCTTCACCGCATTCCGGCCACTACGTTGCCCACCTGCTGCGTGGCGATCAATGGGTGTTATTCAACGATGAGAAGGTGAGGGTTTTGCTTTTGAATACGTGGGAATTTGATTACAGGACTGTTTGCAGGAGCGGGGGAAAATTTTTTTTTTTTGCTTATACGGCGCGTTCCGCTTATCTTTGAAAATTGAACAAAATTTTCGAAGTTTTATGAGTGTTGTAACTCGAGAAATAGCCTTTATTACTGAGAAAAGTAGTGTCCTCTTACCCCCCCCCGCTAACAACCCAGTACTAAAATTTACGTATTCCGAGCACTCACCAATGCCATTCTTTCCAGGTGGCCTACTCGCAGCAGCCGCCCAAGCAGCTCGCCTACCTCTACATCTACAAACGGGTCTAAGCGCCAGCCGGCGCCTCGTCACTGCCACCAACCAAATTTTTTACTTTACTGTTCAAGATTTTAATTTAGCCTCGTGTTGCCCCCCTCCCCCTTTGTTTCCCTTGCTTCAAATGTCAAATTTAAGCCCGGGTCTTCCTTTGATTGTCGTTTCTCGGTGCGCGCCCTTGTGATGATAGTATATGACAAAGTGCATTTGCTTTTGCTAGACGTGTGTTTCTTTTATCTACCCGAATAAACCATTATATTCTATAGCGTGAAGTCTTGCCGATTTGCTATCAGAATTTGCCATTCATGATTTTGAAATGCATAACGTCGACACATCCTTTTTTCAAAATCTCGAAATTGCGGCATTTCGACATCGACATTTTGAAAGTTCGAAAAGAAGGCCGCCGATGTGCCCCTCGAGGGAGGATGTCAGAAGCGCCAAAGCAAAAGCGCCAATCACTAAAGCGCGCAGGCAGAAGCGCCAAACGAAAAGCGCCCAATGCCCAAAAGCGCCCAATGCCAAAAAGCGCCCAATGCCCAAAAGCGCCCAATGCCCAAAAGCGCTCTATGGGGAAAGCCAACGTATGGAGAGAGGAAACAATTACATAAAATGGCTTTTTTTCAAGCTTTGTATGCCTTTTAAACGTTGTTTAGCGATAGGTAGGCTTTGTAGACGGCAAATTATCACCCCGAGCGGGTTGTTTTGGCCTTATTGGGTCTTTTGGCTTGAATTGCCGTGTTTCAGTCTCTAGTTTTACCGGGTTTGCCTCATGTTCTCACGATTTCTGATGTTTTCAGTCACAATAGTGTTGCAAGCACGAAATACTTGTTATAAAACAGTGTTTGGAGGCCAGAACGACGAGAAAAACGCCGTATTTCCGGGTAATGGATCCGAAAATGGCACTAAACAACCTTTCCACGGCGACTTTATACCTTTCTCACATTAGAAATGTATATTCGGACCGGTTCGAGCATGTAGAGATCAAGAAACTACGTCAAAAATAGTGGAAAAGCTGCTTTAGAAGAGAACTAGCTATTCGAGTGAAAGAAGGCCCTAGGAGGCCAAAATAACTTCACCCAGTCGGTAATTTATGGCCTAGTAGGTCGAACTGCCGCTAAACTACCATAATAACACCAGAAAACCTATTAAAACAACTATTTTATCTCTACTTTATGTAATTGTTTCCTCTCTCCATACGTTGGCTTTCCCCATAGAGCGCTTTTGGGCATTGGGCGCTTTTGGGCATTGGGCGCTTTTTGGCATTGGGCGCTTTTGGGCATTGGGCGCTTTTCGTTTGGCGCTTCTGCCTGCGCGCTTTAGTGATTGGCGCTTTTGCTTTGGCGCTTCTGACATCCTCCCCCCCTCGAGCAAAGCGGTATGGAATTTATTCGATTAGATTTTGGTGGCTTGGAGCGTGATTTTCGGGTGGTCAGGCTTGCTGGTCGCGCGGTTCCTCTTCGGGCTGTCGACTGGCGTAGCCGGCGCACGGCTGGAAGTCCATCTGCGAGGCGCCCCGGCCCGGCTCGAGCGGCGGGAACAGCATGTCGAGCAGCGGACCAAGCAGCCAGCAGCTGCCAAGTGATGTTGTAGCAAGCCGCAGCAAACATGGGCCCTACCACGGCTCGCGTTCGAGGACGGTCCGCTTGGCCTGCTCGAGCTCTTCGGCGGCCGGCACGACGGCGGTTTGCGTGTCTGGAAGAGCGTAGAGAGCGGCGTAATGGTGGCGTACCGCCGTCGATCGGCAAACAGGTGAACGTGTCCGAGTCGTCGATGGCCGGGGTGGCGCGCGTGACCGACTCCCACATTTGGGCGCCGCCGGGCAGGTCGACGATCACCTGCGTAGTTTTCCGGGGTTTTTGAAGAACTTTAGAATAAGGTTTATTCTACAGGTAAGTTTTGGGTTCTCTGTCCTACCTCCTGGGCGGAAAAGCGGATCGACTCGAGGCTGAGCGCGAGCTGGGTGACGAGCTGCCGCCGGCTGACCGCCGACCCCTTCAGCCACATGCGCAGCTTGCCCACGTTGTAGGGGTGGACGGCGCGGGCGTACACCGACAGGTGATGCGTGCGCTGCAAGGTAAAATTCGAGACTTTTCAGACTTTATGTTTTTTATGTATCAAAAAAGCTAAAAATTTGTCGAAAGGTGCATCTTGATCGCCATCTCAGCGCGCATTTTACCTATCGGGGCGATCTTTGCCGTAATTTTTCAAGCATTTTAGATATTTTCTTCAGCTCTAAACTAAGCCTCGGCAGCCGCCAAAAAGCCAAACGAACCCAGTCGCGCTCGGACAGCTCCGGGTTGAACGTCACCTTCACCTCGGCGTACTTTCGCGGCTTCAACATCAAGCACGGGCACGGGATCGAGATGGCGCGGGAGCAGGAGGGGACGAGCTGAAAGCGCAATCGTCGAGGTGGGCTTGTTTTCATCGTGGCAAAATCAGAATGGCGAAACTAAATTTATCCCCCACTTTGAGCACAATCTCTTTCTCGGTCGGGTTTCGGATGAGGAGGGTACGGGGGGGCAGAGCGGTCACCCTTGGGGAACACCATCGCCTGCGGGGGCCTCGGAGACATCTTTAAAGAATAGTGGTGATTAGAAAAAATTTTTAATCACAACCAGGGTTGAAAAGTCGCTTTGCGACTTTTCAACCCTGGCCCCGTCTGACCCCATTTTATCCTTCACTTTGCATAATTGTCCTAAATTCAGATGAAAAAAAAAATGAAAAACAACCTCTCCTGCCACTTATGTAGACCAATCCCCACTTCCGGTCAATGCTAATTATACCTAACAAAGAAGTTTTCACAAAAACATAAATTTAATGTTGAAAATAGCTGATTTTGTTGAGTCTCTTATGCGTGCAGTCATCTCCAGGCCATTACGCACCTAATGACGTATCATACATACCTTAAAATAGCTCCCCTATCGAGATATCCTCCGGACAGACAAACGGAAGTGGATTCAAAGTGGCACACACACACACAGACACACACACAGACACTATTTTTTATATATAGTAGGATTTACCCCTGAAAATCGATGAGGCTACGAATTCCAGGTATCCAGGAGAGTCAAAAGAGTAAAAAACTACGTATAGGTGAAAAACCCGACCGATAAGCTTCACTGTGCGTTGTTAGAAGGTAGAAAAGAAGAGAGACGGCCGCGCGGAAACGGGGCTTTTAAAAAATGCTAGTTTATGGACGAAAGGGAAAGGTTTCATCGAGGCATGCAAATTACTCTCGAAATTCTGGGCGTGTTTTTGACTTTTGGGCAGAAGTCTGGCACTGAGCCTGGGCCTCCCAGTTCTCGGACGAAACGGAATTCGGCACATTTCGGGTCGCTCTTCAGATGCTTTTATTTTTACCTTTTTATAGTTTAAATTTACGTCACAAAATTTTCAAAGTTGGAAAAATTTTGACAATTTTTGACCATTTTTCATATGCTTCCGAGGTTTTTATGTGCATTTTTATGGAGCGTGGCTTTTTATGTCGAAAAATTGTGTCAAATGTTGTAAAAAAGGGGCTTTATTTCGTTACAGGGCCGTAGAGGTTTATGAGAAACATTAGTACGCTTTAGAGATAATTTATTTATAGGATTTGTAAAAATTATAGAAAAATCCACAAGGAAAATCAATTCAGGTGCCCAGGTGGCAGTCTACCGGAAGTCCAGCGTCGCCGTACACGAAATTCGGGAACTCCGCCCCGGGCGACGATTTCGGATGGACTATCGTAACCTTTATGTTCAGGCTTAGTGGCGTGTCTAAGCGCCCAGCGGATTTCCGCTTCGCCAACGTGGGGGTCATAGTTCTGGAGCAGGACGAGGAAGCAGCGTCGCCAGATCCGATCATCTTCATAAACCCGGGCCAAATGGAACAGATCAACAGTGTAGAGGCGACAGTTCGACACGTCCGCCAAACATTTTGTCACTGCGCTCAGCGTTGTCTCGACGGCGGCCCGCATTTTATCCAGCGTCGGCTGCAACGAGTCAATATTACGCGAATTTATTCGGATAGGTTCTGGCTACCATAGTGCAATTATATGATGAATTCGCGTAAACGTACAGTCTATCCCTCGACCCAGCTGAAATCACCCTAGCTCCGCAGCCATACAGGGTGTCCAAAAAAAACCGCCCTCTGGCGGTCGGCGGCCGCCCTAATGTCCGATTTTTATGATTTAGGTATCTATCGAAAGCTTTCGACGAGTTGAGGAGATAAATTTTCTCCGAGTTTAGATTCTCAAATTTTTTAACGCGATTTTCATCGGTTTTTGGGCAGTGATGATGCAATTTTCTCAAAAAAGCTCCTAAAATTCAATTTAATCGGCGTCATCTCGTCCACGATGTATTTTCTGAAATGCTTTTCGAAAAGCCAGAGCTGTGCTGCCAGGCAAGAGGTAAAAATATGGAAAATGGGTTTTTGTTAACCACATTAGCATGGGAAAAGCATGGAAAATTCAGCCAATTTCGCAAAAATGTTAATAAATGTTATAAAAAGTCGGAAATTTCAAAAAACGGAGAGAACTTATCTGCTTAGCTCGTGAGCTTTCGATCTGAGATCTAAATCATAAAAATAGGACATCACTGCGGACCACTGGAGGGAGGGTCTTTTTTTGGGGCACCCTGTGGGTCCTGTTGATGCGTGAGCGTCTGCTTAAAACCGGCCGTCTTGGCCGCAAAACCGACGTCCAGTTGCTTACTTGCGTCGGAAATTTCTACAAATTTTTGCAAGATGGTTAAACTAGGTTCGAACTGCTAAAGTCGAATTCACGATCCAGGCTACCAATCGACCTACAGAACTGTAAAGTAGCCCAGAATGTAATCCCTGACTTTAAGAGTGCGGATTCCGTACACTAGAGTCCAAGAAAGTGGGGAAAAAATAAAATATTTGTGTTTGAAAGCCAATATAAGTGTAATCACTCCAAAGTACCTGGCGTTGAGCTGTGCTCTCCTCGTGCGTCTGTACAAATAACATTCGACGCTTCCCGTCAGCCGGGGTGTGCTGTAAGTAGGTTTAATATCGGCACGCCGCTACTTTCACGTTTTTTTGGTAAGTTCAAAGATACCTCACTGACGGCGTCTTTGATCAGTCCCGGAATATACGTCATTGCAGCGATATACTCGGTCGCGGAACTGTATTTTTGTTGTAGATATAGCAGAGGGACGTGCTTGTACTATAAGATTAGCGACTTGATGATGGTCAAAGATCACGCTACCTTTGCCAAACACATTCGGAAGTTTTCATGACTGTCCTCGGGTTCTATGGGGGAAAAGGCCGGTAGATACAGCTGAAATCTCGTCATTTGCTCGTTGAGTAGTCTAAGCTTAAGCCTAAGCCTGAGCCTGAGCCTAAGCCTAAGCCTGCGCCTGAGCCTGAGCCAAGTCTAAGTAAGCCTAAACCCAAGCCCAAGCCTATGCCGGCGTCATCCCAATGGCGCTTCGTTGCACACCTATTCCGAAGCCTTTTATGTCCATCGAAAGCAGCCAATATGGGGGGGCGCTTGTAGTTTTTATTTTGAAAATCGTTCATAACTTTATGGCTATTCCGCAAAAACGGTAACAATATTCAGCATCAACGTCAAATTCTGCACAAGATAGGCTGGGTCTCCTCCCAAAGTCCAGACGACACTCAAAAACGTCCCCTTTTCAGGCACATACCGCATTTGTGTTGTGGGGGCACAGCTGCATCGAGGAAAGCTCTCTATAAAAACTCTCTCTCGTTCTTTGCAAAAAAGAAAAATGGCTATACAAAGAAACGAATACTCACTTAAGGGAATAATCCCGGCGATATTGGTAGATGTACAAAAAGAATTGGCAATTCGTTCGTTGGAGCGGGTGGTACTGATCAAGGCTTTCCCAGCCACCCGGTAATTCCTAAAGGTACGAGGTAGACATCGCTTTTCTAGCGTTACGTGGCACCAGTTCTGGAAGTCGACAGCTTCAATACGCAGTCCTTCGGTGAACTTGTTCATGACGCGGACCTGTGGTCCGCCACGACTTTTTGCAGTGAGATGGAAGAGCTGATGACTGTGGAAAATGGCCATCACCGACTTGCCATTCCAATTCCTCGAAGCGGATCCCCTAAACGAGCTTAGATTAGATGGCTCGCAATCCGAAACAAGCTTTTTGGAGCTATTGCAGCTGGAGGCGGGAGGGCAAAATTTATTTAGGCTGTTACCGGCCTAAGCTGGTCTCCAAAACTAAGCTAACCAAACAAGTCGTACTCCAAGCTAACCTAAGCCAAGTCTAGCCTTAAGCCCAAGCCTAAGCTAAGTCTAGGCTAAGTCTAGGCTAAGCCAAAGCCGGGCCTAACCTCAGCCTAAGCGAAGCCAAAATCGAGTTTGGGCCAAGCGAAAACCTAGCCGAATCCTGAGATAAGCCTTATCCGAAGCCTCAACCGTAAATGAGCTAAGTTTATGCAACGCTTAAGCTAAGCCTAAGCCTAAGCCTAGGACCAAAAAAAAATTGCTTCCCCGGACTTCCAAAGGGACCGGCTTTTTACCTGACGTCCTTAACCGGGCATACATGACATGTGCGGCAAATTCGACACCATGAATCGTCATGACAGCGCGTACAAATACCCGGAAGTGGCCGTCCATCCCGTGCCGTATCATTGTCGCAACTTCAATTAATCGTGAGTGACGTAACTTTCTTGTTACGTAAAATAATACCTGTTAAGAAAGGAGCACTTCAACGTGCCTGCTAGCACATTGTTGAGAAAACGAAAGTTGATTTTGATAAAATTGCATCTTTTGGAGAAGAATCGCCGTTCATGAATCACAATCTCGCATCCAACGTCTGTTTCCTTCCTCTAAAAAAACTCTGCTATAAAATCTTCTATAAAATCATCTATCTGTCTGAAGACATCTTCTATACAATTACGCACCTTTTCGCAAAGATCCAGGGTTGCGTAGACGAAGCGGCCGCCAAAGAGGAATAAGCGAGCAGGGAATGTCGAAAAGTGCTTAAAAGTCAACATTTCCCAGTCAACAGCTCCTTGCTGTTGCTCCAGTTGCCAACAAGACTTACCTTACACGTCGCTCGCAAATCTGCCTTCTCGAGCACGAGAAGATGGCCGTGGACCAGGTCTTGAAGATTGCGCGTCAGCTTCGCGTAGGGGAACCGCGTTTCCGGGACGGCCATTCGGTAGAGATGAATTCGTCGACAGGTCGGGTGGTTTAAGAATGTAGAACTAGAAATTTGAATTGCGTATCTCAGTGTGGACTTGTAACTACTAACTAGGTTATCAAATCAATAGGCCAACTGCGCACATTGCCTTAGGGATCGTTTCGAAATTGCCGGGCTGCACTCCAGTGCTAACTGCCCCCCCCCGGCTCTCACATTAAAGGGGATGTGGGTTAGGCTTAGGTTTAGGCTTTGAACTAATAACCATTTACTTCTATTTTAGGACTTCTGCTTCGATTTCCAAGCTATTTCTAAAGCCCTTGCAACCTCCGAGTGTTGATTTTTTTACTATTAATGCTAGGTTAGATCGTTTTCGAGCGAGTTTTCGAGCTGTCGAGCGATCATTTTTCGAGTGGTTTTCCATATTCCAGCTCAATTTTTTGCGGCTTCTCCTTCGATTTCCAAGCGCCTGATGTCGAGTTCTTGCCGGGTTAGCCACTGTTTCCGACGAATTTCTGAGTACGAGCTCATGCCGCGATTTCCAAGCCACTACTTGCCAGTTATTTTTGAGCAGCCGCCTAAGTAGCGCAAAATTCTCTGATTTTCAACTTTATTCATAAAACGCACATTTTCTCTCTTTCTCTCACTCTCTGTCATTCGCAAAAATGAAAAAAAAAACACGCAAAAAACGAGGATAATTTGGGCGGGGTTTGGGCCGAAAACCAAAGAAACAATAGCGACAAATAGACAAAACGGGCAGGCAATTGATCGATAAATATTTTTGTAGAATTGACTAATCACGTGGTGGGTGAGGGTACGGTAGGGTGGGCGCGGGATAAAGCTGTGGCTAGGGGCGATTTGTAGGTTGTAGAGAGCACGAGCTGGGGGCCGGGAGGCAAGGTGGTTGCGGCGGCAGTTCCCAGCTCCCAGCTCGAGCCCACGGGGAGCACTAGAATCGGAATGGACAGAAAAATAGCGGCCGGGTAAGGAGGTGTAGTTTGTAGCCTGGAAATATTTTGAAGTTGTAGTGTGGTTTCCCTAAAATTCGCAGGTTGGGGGGAGGCTCCGGCTTCGGCTCAGGCCTACGCTTAGGTTTAGGCTTAGCTTTGGGCTTGGGCTTCGCTTAGTCTTAGGCTTAGGCTTAGGCTTAGGCTTAAGCTTAAGCATAGGCTTAGTCTTAGGCTTAGGCGTAGGCTTAGCTACCAAATTTGGTCTACAAGCTACAGACTACATCCTCCAAAACCGAAAAATGTGCGGCGCGAATCGTCGGGGGGCGTTGGGAATCTCGGAAATCGGGCTAAGAACGGGATGATCGGTGCAAAAACACACATGAAAGAATCCACAGCGCGTGGGCATACGAGATTACGGTCATCATTTTTGAAAGTCCAACGGTTACGGTAGGTTACGGTAGATTACGGTAGGTTACGGCTGTTTCTGAGATTATGCACGGGGTGGGCGGGGCTACGAAATACGGCTATGGGGTAATACAAACTACAGAAATACGCGGAAGAATATGAGGGAATACTGTGGGGGGAAATCTCGAAAAATGAAAAATTGGGTTTTTTGGGGCGGGGTACTGCAGCGGAGCGGGTTGTGACTTTATGAGAGGTTATTAAAAGATGCGCCAAATTTCGGTGATGCACTAATGACACGATACATACTTCCGCTACAGTACCCCGAGGTCGGGAGAGGGGGATTTTTGGCGGGCTCAATGGGGTCGAGGCGAAAACGGTCGGCCAACTCGTTTAGAGGGGCTGGGAAGGGCGGAAGGACTAGGCTTAGGCTTAAGCTTAGGCGTAGGCTGAGGCCTAGGCTGAGGCCTAGGCTTAGGCGTAGGTTTAGGCTTAGGCTTAGGCGTAGGCTTAGGCTTAGGCTTCGACTTCGGCCTAGGCTTCGGCTTTGGCTTGACGTCTCCAGAGCTTCCCGCCCCATCAGTGGCCCCGTTTTCGGCTCCAGACTTCAGGGATGGGGGATGAAAAGCCTTACATTAGTGTGCGACCGGGAATGGATGAGGCTGGGATTATTAGGGTGGGCTAAAACAACAATTCTCGAATATTCACAATGTACGGGCCCGGGACTCGAACCGGGATCCGATTTCGAGTTGGTTGGGTCCTAAACCGCTTTGCCAAACTCGGCTGCGGCTCACTGCGGCATGTGGAGCATCTCGTGCGGCTGCGGCATGTCGAACCCCGTCCACATGTCGCCCCACGTTGACTGGCCTGCAAGGAGACGGGTTTTAGAGCCAGAATTTTTTTTATATATCTCTCTCTCTCGCTCTCTCGCCGTACTTACCAGAGCCAGCGCGTAGCGCGTGCGCGAAGCTGAAGTCGGTGATGGAGGGCAGCATGTCGGCTTCCGGGGGGAATTGGCCGACCGGGTGGGCAGGGTCAGCTTCTGGAATTTGGATTTTGACGCGAAGATTTTGCGGTCGTGCGACTTCGATGTGACTCTCTCTCTCTCTCTCTCTCTCTCTCTCTCTCTCTCTCTCTCTCTCTCTCTCTCTCGCTCTCTCTCTCGCTCTCTCTTTCTCTAGTTGTCTGATTTCCTTGATAATGAGCCCCAAAACTCTCTGCTAGTTTGCCAAAAGAGACAGAGCGAGAGAGAGCGCGAGAGAGAGAGAGAAAAGGAGAGAGAGAGAGAGAGAGACAGACCGAAACCCCGAAAAAGAAAGAAAGAGGGACAGAGAGAGAGAGAGAGAGAGAGAGAGAGAGAGAGAGAGAGAGAGAGAGAGAGAGAGGGAGAGAGAGAGAGAGAGAGAGAGAGAGAGAGAGAGAGAGAGAGAGAGAGAGAGAGAGAGAGAGAGAGAGAGAGAGAGAGAGAGAGAGAGAGAGAGAGAGAGAGAGAGAGAGAGAGAGAGAGAGAGAGAGAGAGAGAGAGAGAGCGGCGGAGAGAGACCCCTACCTGATCTCCATGCGCCGGGGGTGGTCGAATATTCACGGGGGCCGAATGGGGCATGAACGGAAAGCCGGGCTGGTGTGCAAATCGTGGCTCCTGGAAGACACTTTTTAAGGGGACTGGCAAGTCAGAATTATTCAAATATATAGAAAATTTAACCAGCGCCTTAATGATACCGAAGCTCCCGCGTGTTGGTAACCGTACGAACATCAACCCACCATGCTGTGCAGATGCAGATGGTTGGGCGGGGTGGGGAACGAGCCGTTCGGATAGTAGTCGTCGTAGAATCCGGATTCTGGCGTCAGCGGCGCCTGGCCGAATTCGGACGGCGACGGGAACGAGCACGCGTACCGGGGCTCCTGAAAGAGTTGAGGTTGAGGGACCGCTGAAGTCAGAATTTAGCTTCAGACAATATCTGCTAGCCTGCCCTTTCCTAAAGAATCTCTGCTAGCCTGCTCTTTCCTCAAGAATCCCGCTTACCTGCTTCACAATGGGACTCTTCATGTCCTCATGTCGAAGCATGAATGGCTGCTGCCGATCCCCCTGCACCTTCATAGCTTTGGAGGGGAATGGCGCTTCGCTGGCACCCCCAGACGCTCCTCCAATCGGGCGTTTCTGCCCTGCCCTCTGGCCCTTGGGATGTGGGCTTGGCGGGGTTGTCTGTTGGCCGGGCTGCTGCAGAGTGCCATCCGGGTTCTTCTTCGGCTTCTTCCGGGGTTTGTATTTGTAGTCGGGGTACTCCTGAAAGCGATTGTAAAATTTCCTACATGGTTTCTGCTAGTTCTCCTCCTATTGCTAGCTTGCTCCAAAATTAGCGCTCCAGCTCCAGTTTACGGATCCCCAAAAAATTTCTACTGCCTGTCTTGTCCCAAATGATCTCTGCTAGCCTGCCCTTCATAAAGCATATCTGCTAGCATTTTCCCGAAAGATTCCCTGCGCTCAATTCCTAACAAAATCCCTGCCAGCCTGCCCTAATTTCCCTAATGATCTCAGCTAGCCTGCCCCAATTTCCCAAAGAATCTCTGCAATTCCCAAACTATTACAGCTACCCTAAATGCCACAAAACTATCTGTAAGTCCCTCAATCCCTAAATAACCTCGGCTAGCCTGCCAAACAATTCCCCGACTAATCTCTGCCAGCCCACCTGCATGTGCATCACCCGCAATCGCTCAGCCTCCTGCACGAACGGCTGCTTCTCCTCCTCACTCAACTGCCGCCACCGAGAGCCCAGCTAAATCTTAGGTTTAAAGGGACCGGCAAGGCATAACAACGACGAGAAAGGCGAAATTTAGATTCCGCACAGAATCTTTGTTAGCCTGCTCACCTGCTTGGAGATCTCGGCGTTGTGCATGTCGGGCTGGTGCTCGCAGATTTTCCGTCGCTCCATCTGGCTCCACACCATGAAGGCGTTCATCGGACGCTGAAAAACATGGTTAGACTTGTTAAAGGATCTCTGCTAGCCTGCCCTTTCCTAAAGAATCACTGCTAGGCTGCCTTTTCCTAAAAAAACTTTGCTAGCCTCCTGGTGCCAGAAATACGAATTGCTATCATAATGTCGAAAATCAGAATGTCGAAATTCATGATGCCGAAATTTCGCAAGGTCGAAATTTTTTGCAAGGGATTCGGGGTTTTTCCAAGAAAATTAGCTGCTATAAATTTCGGCCATCCGAATTTCGACATCATGATTTTCGACATTTTGAACGCACCCCCAGAAAAACCTCGAACAGTTTTTGCTTTCCTCAGCAATCTCGGCTAGCCTACCTTTCCTTAAGAATCTCCGCTGGCTTGCCCTTTCTCAAAGAATCTCTGCTAGCTTGCCCTTCTTTTCCGCCACCTATTTTTTGAGCGGCCGGCTGGCTGTTGCCCTAATCTGCACCGGTTGCCTATTTTTGGCAGCCGTCGCCGATAAGGCGAGGGTGGCGGCTATTTTTGGCTCAACCAGGCCGAATCGGCCCTGCTAGCCTGCGCTTTTCAACTTCTAAGCCAACTTAACGCCAGCTACAGTGCCCTCTTTATAAATCCAAAAAAGTGCTACCCAGCCGTTTGCTTCTAGACGGGTCCCGCAACGGCTAAAGGGTGGGGGGGTGGTTGGCTGATTGCCACGGGTCTAGAGGATATGGATTTCCCTTCACAACCCCTTTAGAAGCCGGAAGCTGGGAATTCGCTCAATCCCAGGGTTCCCCATTCGAAAGCCGGCCCGGCAAGTCCAGACTCGGCGCGCTGATAGGCCCTCCGAAACTGGCCATGCCCAAAAAAGGGACCGTCAGATAAGGGGCATGCCAAAAATGGACAAAACAAACAGCCACTATACGAAAAATGAGGCGCTGAGTTTTGAGGGATTCCTTGGAAAAGGGCAGGCGAGCAGAGATTCTTTACGAAAGGGCACATTAGCAGAGATTCTTGGGGAAATGGCAGGCTAGCAGAAATTTTTCAGGAAATAGCAGGCTAACGGAGATTCCTTAGGAATGGGCAGTCTAGCAGAGATTATTTAGGAAACGGTAGGCTAGCAGAGATCTTTGTGACAAACTTCTGAGACGTACCTTGATGTGATTGGAGCTCTTCTTGCAGTTCGTCGCATCGGTGTAGGGCGTGGCCGAGACCTTCGACACCTGGAACTGCACAAGCGGTCGTACGGTAATAAAAAATATAGAAGACATCGTCCGGAAAGGTCAGCAATCCGGAAAAATCCGCCATTTTTTGACCTCCCAGTCCCTTTAAATCGCAATTTTCAGCTTCTGGAACCCTGAAAGCTGAAATATTCACCTTTAGAGAACCAAACGGAAGCTCCCAGCCCATCGGCGGTGGCGGCCCGAGCAGCTGCTGGTGATGGCCGCCTAGCGGCGGTAGATGACCTGCATTGAATTCAGTTACGGAGATTCAAGCCTAAGCCTAGCCTAAGCACAAGCCTAAGCCTAAGCCTAGGCCTAAGCCTAAGCCTAAGCCTAAGCCTAAGCCTAAGCCTAAGCCTAAGCCTAAGCCTAAGCCTAAGCCTAAGCCCAAGACTAAGCCTAAGCCAAAGCCAAAGCCTAAGCCTAAGCCTAAGCCTAAGCCTATGCCTAAGCCTAAACATAAGCCTATGCCTAAGTCTAAGCCTAAGTCTAAGCCCAAGTAGCTTACCTCCAGGCAGAATATTGTTATTACATCCGGGCGGGCCGAGTCCATTCGTCGCGCCCAGGGGCCCGTCCCAGACCTAAAAAATCCTTTTAAGATGCTGTGGAGGCCAAGGCAAAACAGGCCAGCAGAGATTCTTTGGGAAATTTTGCAAGCATGCGCTCACCTCCTGCTTGATGTACTTTGGGTCCATCAGATGACGTCCCAGGCTCCAGATTCGTGCAGATGGAGCTGAAAAAATCGGATTAAAGTTGGTCACTCATAAGGACGGTCTAGAAAAGTGAGAACACAGAAGAGAGTTACAGAGAGAGAGAGAGAGAGAGAGAGAGAGAGAGAGAGAGAGAGAGAGAGAAGAGAGAGAGAGAACAAAGCATTGTAATGAATAATCAAAACTCTCAAATATAAATATTATGAAGTGGCTCGTTGGGCTCGCGTCACCCACGCGCAATCCGGAAGTATTTCGGCACGCGGATCCGGTAGATCCCCGGCCCCCAAGGGCAGCTACGCAAATATACAACGAAACGCCGGCCGGGTGGGGCCCAATTTTGGGGCTAGAAAAATTATACCAGCGTAAGTCTCTCTTTCTCACGCTCTCTCTCTCTCTGTCTCTCTCACGCTCTCCATCTCTCTCGCTCTCTCGCTTCGTAAATTGGCTAACAGCCAAAACCAAAATTCAAAATACCCAACCGCGCCAGTGATAAACAGGCGCTAGACCAGTCTAACCAAGTGCAAGCCGCCCATTTCAGGCCCGAGACAAATAAGTCAGCTGGCTCTTTTTGAGGCGAGAGAGAGACAGAGATAGAGAGAGAGAGCTAGAGAAATGCGTGTGAGCCCGCTGATCTATAGATTAGGATCTAGTGCGGGCGGTTTGGCGGCTGGGGGCGAGAGTGACCGGCATAATTTGCGAAAACGCAGCCAGCTCGTGCTCACTTTCTCGAGCTCTCTGTGGGAGCAGTGGTGGAGGAGGTGAGGTAGAGGGGCAGAGATTCATGCAAGACTTCTTGAAAACGTTGGTAGACTAGCAGAAATTGTTTATGAGAGGGCCGGTTAGCAGAGGGCAGGCTAGCAGGAATTCTCATCTCGGAGCTCAGGCGCGAGCAGTTCAAGACGTTGCCGCGAGTTTTAACCTGAGAAATAGAAGGAGAAAGAGAAGGAGACAGCGAGAGCGAGAGAGAGAGTGAGAGAGAGAGAGAACCAAGCAGGAACTTAAAAAATTCGTACTTTCAAGAGCACGGGCAACGAAAAAAGGGCTGCTTCCAGCCGGCTGGGTGTATATGTTTCAGATCGGCTTGAGGAGGCTGATAAGCGCCCGCTGCTTGGGCTTGTGACCGGAGGGCACGAGCCCCAAAAATGTCTGCAAACGGCTGGGGGAGGGGCGGGCAACAGGATTGTACGATTTGTTACTGGGGTGGAAACCTTGGAAAAACATGTTTTTGATTAGAGCGTGCGCTTCGTTAAGCCTAGGCTTAGGCTTAGACATGGGCTTAGGCTTAGGCTCGGGCTAAAACTTATGCTCACGCTTCATTCATCTTATAATCCCTGGAAGAGGTAACCTAGCAGAGATCCCTTCAGCTAAGGCAACCTTCTCTCCGATCCACTCATTTTCCGGCCCCTTTAAACCGCGCAAATCGCAGCGGAATGGAGCTGATTCCCGGGGCGGGCAGGGCATTGCCCTCCCGAGTACGGTGGACGCGACGAGAGAGAGCGGGAGAGAGAACGAGACGGAGCGAGAAGCAGAGATAGAAAGCACCACCCGAGAAGCCTCAAGGTCGCCATTGTCCCCTGGAGGGATCTGTCTGTCTGTCGGTCTCTCGATGTATGTCTGTCTGCCTGCTACCGAGTGCTTTTGCTGTGTATTTTCCAGTTCCTGCCGCCCGGGAGCTCGAACCCCCTCGATGGAGGGGCTTGACCGCTTAGCTGGGCAAATGATCGGGATACGGGATTGAGGGGAGAGAGAGGGTGATAGGGAGGAAGAGAGAGAGAAAGCGAGAGATCGAGAGAGAGAGAGAGAGAGAGAGAGAGAGAGAGAGAGAGAGAGCTATGGACCGGGAGCCGGTGAGAGAGTGTGTGGCGAAATAGGGCACAAGATACAGAGTGGCAGGGGAGAGAGATAGAGAGATAGAGAGAGAGAGAGAGAGAGAGGGAGAAAGAGCGAGAGAGAGACATCGAGAGGCCATGAGGTGAGCAGGAGCCTGCAACGAAATCGCAAAAACCAAATACCATATTGTGCAGCATCATCCCACTTAAAAGGCGCAAAAACTAAAAAGCAAGCCGTACCGAAAAACTGAAGAAAAAACTTTAGAAAAACTGATGATCAATAAATAGGCCGCAGCGCCGCTGGCCGATACCTTCGGGTTGGCTGGCGGGTTAGCGGACGAGTAATAGGCGTTGGCAGCTTTGCTTCCCTCTCTCTCTCTCTCCCTATCTCTCTATCGCTTTGCCCACCGTAACTGGTTTGCCATCTTCAACTCGTCGGCGGTGAGCGGGGAGCCCAAAAATGGAATCAGTGCTGATAGTGGCTTAGGCTTAGGCTTCGGTTTAGGCTTCGGTTTAGGCTTCGGCTTCGGCTTCGGTTTAGGCTTGGGCTTAACCTACTAGCGAACCCTGGTCAAGAGCCCACAGCCCCCAATTTCGCGCCTCAAAAGTGCAAGCTACCGTAGTACCCACCGGGGCGCCCGAAACGAAAAATGGCGCTTTTTGCATGTGGTTTTTATGGGGTTGACCTCTGGCGCGGGGATTGGCACCATTTTTCGTAGCGGATGGAGTATTGGCCCGGAAAATTTTGCTAAAAAGACTTGGAAAGGAGAAAAGGATTTCTTGAGGAAACGGCAGGCTAGCAGTGTTCCTTTGACGAGTCGTACGTTCTCCAAAAGTGCGCCAAGCCGTCGACGGCCTTGAGCAACAGTTCGGGTGGCCCAAAATGCGGTACACCGCCCGAAATGGGCTGAAAACGGGCTGCTGCTACTGGCGGCTCCCCGGAGTTCGTGGCGCCCCGCTGCGGGGCGCGCACGCCCCGGCGCGCCACCGCGTGGCCCCCAGCAGCGGTCATTTTTCGTCCGCGTTTGACCTTTTTGGAACGATCGGCGTTTGGAAAGAGCGGAAAAATGGGAGTTTCAAGGATTGCAAAAATTAATTCAGGAAAATATTGGGATTCGGGATTTCCAAATATCATGGAGCATCGACAGCAGGGAAAATTACCCCGAGGATACCCGCGTAAAATATCTTCTTTTTTGAGAGAGCGAGAGAGAGAGAAAGAGCGAGAGAGCGAGAGAAAAATTTTTTGAGGGAAAAGCTGAGCTACCCGGAAGGAAAATTGACCAGCTCTGACTCACAAAAATGACGTTTTTTCCGGGGGACCACTGCTTCTAGAGGTTTCGTGCTTTTTGAGGAAAATCCGGGAAAAATTGTTTACCTCGAACTGGGAGAAAAACGAAAAATTAGAGATTACAGGAGTGACGAAATGACGGAGCGTCGTGAAATTTGCGTGTGGTTACGGTAGGTGCTTTTCGGTAGGAGAGAATTTAAAAAAGGCAGGCTAGCAAACTTCCTTAGGAACGGGAGGCTTAACAGCTTGGGTTTAGGCTTAGGCTTAGCTTAGGCTTAGGTCTAGACTGGGCATAGGCGTATATTTAGGCTTAGGCTTGCGCCTGGACTTGAGCTTAGGCTTAGGCTTAGCATATGCTTGAGCTTAGGGTTAGGTCTAGACTTAGACTTAGGCTTAGGCTTAGGACTAGGCTTGCGCTTAGGCCTGGACCTGAGCTTAGGTATAGGCTTAGCTTTAGGCTTCGCTTCGGCCTAGGCTTAGGCTTAGGCTTAGACTTAGGTCAAGGCTTAGACTTGGGCTTAGGCAGGCACAGCTTAGCAATGGTCATTTGGGAATGAAGGACAAGTACCCAAAACTCGGCCCCACCCCGGCCATACTACCCTGAGGGTACAATCCTGGTGACAGGTGCTGAATAGCGAGCAAAACGTTTCTGGTCGGGGCATCAAAAACGCCGAAAAACAATGGAAACATTTAGCGAGTTGCCTGTCGCGTCGTAGCCCTAGGGTATTAATCTTGCAAGAGGTAAAGGTTTCTCGAACGGCGTGTTACTGGAGTATTTGAGGTTTTGGAAAAAAGCTATCTAGCAGGGATATTTTAGGAATCGAAGGGAGGCTAGCAGAGATTCTTTACAAAATAAAGAAAAGGTAGCAGAAATTACGTGAGAACACAACGCAGGATAGCAGAAATCATTGAGACCAGAGGCCACGAATTCGAGGTAAACTAGCGGAGATCATTTAGGAATTCAAGGAAGGAAGAGAGAGCGCGAGAGAGAGAGAGAGGCTTTCTAAGCAACTCTGAAAGATCTGATGATCTGAAAGAACTAGGAGGCTGGCAAAGGCCGTTTAGGAACGAGGCAAGGCAGCGGAGATCCTTTAGGAATTCACGCCAAACGAGCAAGTTTTCTTTCGGAGTCCCGAGCGGATTTAGACATTCAGATAGGCTAGCAGAGATTCTTTAGGAAAACCAAAATATCAGAAAATTTTTAATGACTCCGGGCAGGCT